TGAGGGTAAGTCTCTCCTTGTGTCTGTTCTCCTGGCACTGACAGACAGATACAGGGCTCTTCCCTGTAAGCACAGCTTTGTGTCCATTAATGTTCCTAGGCACAATAACATTTGGAAGGAGCAAGACACCCATATCTATGGAAACTTGTAGAATTTTGCTAGTGCAAGGGGCGCTGGGTGATCAAAATTCCTGCCTGTGAGAAGCTCAGCTGTGTCAGCTGATGTAGGAAACAGAGTGAATTCTGTTCTGTAAGGAAGATAGGGGACATTAGAAAGCTGTGTTCATCTCACAGCTACAGATCTCTTCAACCTGCTCTTCCATTCATTCTCTTCAGAGTATGCTGTGCATTTCTTTTGTGGCTCTTGATTTCATGACTGTTGCGTTGTGCAGCTTGGGACCAAGGAAGTTTGCTGTAGCTGATGAGAACAGTCCCATGTTAGAACAAAGTATTGTGTTTACAAAGATTCCAAAGATGTATTTGCTTTCATACTTCCTGTACTGCTCTGCCAGCATCTGAGTAAATCCCTGATTTGGGTTTCCAGGGTTTCCTGGTTCATTTACCAGATCTGCTCTTTGTCTTTGGAAAGCTCTGTGAACTATTTGTAATCCTGTTTTCATTATTAGGCTGTGATGACCTGAGACACAAACTAGACAACACAAATTCCCAGAGCATGGATGCCTGCAGAAGTTTGGAGGGCTTTGTGGCTTACAGACTGCTCTATGACCTGTGGTGGAACTCACCCAAAGACCCTCCTGGCTTGCAAAAGGCTGTGTTGGATCCTGTGCTGTGCCCCAGTGAGCAGACAACTCTTGAGAAGAGTTACCTTTCAGGTGACTCCTCCCCTGGAGAAACGGATCAAACTCCAGCTGAGATGGATGAAAACCTCTGCAATACAACTGAAGTGCAGAAGTGTGAGACGCAAAGTGACTCAGGAACTAACTTGGTCGATTTGGTAGACGGACAGTCAAAACTGAAGGGTTGCAAAGTGCTCCTTTCAGAAGAGATGGCTGTGTTACAGAACACCCAGAGAGATATAGCAGAGGTCCAGGAGACTTTAGCAGAAATGATCCGCCAGCATCAGCAGCAGAGGAACAATCTCCAGGAAAACACAAATGGAAACACCCAGGAAAGCAACCTGGAGCAGAGTTCAGAGACTGAATTAGACAAACCATGCTCTGACAGCAACCAGATGAATGGGTAAGATTCAGCACATGAATCAGTGGATTGAAAAGTGTTGCTTTTTTCTGTGTGTTTGTGCAGCAAATTGCCTCTAATCTCCAGCTGAACACCCAGGGACACTTAAACATACAGTCAGAAATCTTGCATTTTCCTGGGGCTGAACCACCCTATTCCTAAACTTAGTGCAGCTGAACAGCTTCATGATACACGAGGTGTGTTGTTGCAGTGAAAAAATAGGGCATCTTGAAAAGGGGAGGACAATGAAAAGGACAGGCATGGTCTAAGAGATCTGTTTCTTTGTTGAACAGGTGTTTGGGACTTTGGCAAGAAGGAGCTAGAACATAAAACACTTTTCCATTTATCTCCTGTGCTCTGTGTACAGGAGAGAGGCTATGCAGTAACTTAAGCAAAACAGTTACCAATGACACCTGTTTTTTTTCTTGACAGCAAAGATGAAATAAAGCAACCAATTACACTCCCTGAGCTCACAAAGCAGCTTCTCAATGCAAAGCAGAAACTAGCGGAATTCCCAGACAATTTAAAGGTAAGTTTTCAGAAGAGCCATTGTGGTTCTGAAAGGGCAGCCTCATTACAGAATCCCTTCCATGGAGGGATTGTGATGCTGAGACACAGCTGACATGTGGCATCAGGGTGGTGTTTTTCTTTCAAGCCTAACTTTTCCTGTCCAGTTGGAAAGCGTAGCTAAAGCTCCTGCATGGGAGAATTCAGTGGGATATCCTGTATGGATCTATCTCATGCATTTTAGAAGTAATTCCTTGCTACTTATGTATGGAAAAAAAATTGATAAACAGTAAAATCAGAAATTTAAGCTATAAAATGGCCTTTATAGATCAAGAACTGTAGAAACTACTCATCACATGTTTGAAAACATGTAACCATGGTGATGATGCAAGAGGGGGCAAACGGGGTTAAACGTGAAGAGGAGACAATGCATCCTGACTATCTCTGTTTCAAGGGTTCTATAAAGCAGTGTTTTTAGAGAGCTGCCTACCTGAATATGTTGTTGAGCACTTGTAATTGACAGTCACCTCATGCTCCTTTTTTGCAGGTCTTGCCCTTCCCTGACGTGCTGGAATGCTGCCTTGTACTCCTTCACCTTGGATCCCAGTGCCCTCCTGAGCTACAGGAACAGGCTCTGGATCTCCTTAGGAAACACAGCAGTGCTAATATTTACAAAAAGGCTGTCAGGAGGTTCTTGACATGACATTCTGTCTCCCTTCTTGAGCTGCCTACAGTTACTTAACACCAAGGCTCTTCTTTCTTCAAGTGAAGGCTTGTTTTGATGGCTGTGGCTGTTACTGAAACAAAAAGTCAGGTTTATATACAGACCCACTTGTGCTCATTCACTAACAATACTTAAGGACACTGTTAGAAAATTGAAAAGCAGGAGGGTGTGGGCTTGAACTGTTATACAGGATTTTTGTATAGTCTTTTTCTATTTGTTGGAAACTATGCTCATGAAAGCTCTTGCTATTTACATGTAAGAGAAACAGTTTTGAGCAGCTGTACAGTCTCAGCAGAGGAAGAGTAGCTTCCCTCAGGAAAATCAATGGTTTCTGTAACCAAACTGACCCTTAAGCCAGTATTGTTCTTAGAAGCATTGTGAGTTTATTTTTCCCTCCTTTAAATAAAGTCTTCTACCACCATGAATTGGTATTTAATTTGATATATAGAAATCAATATCAAGCAAGGGCAAATGCATTAAAAATAAGTCTGGGGTGGGTTCTTTTTTGTTGTTAAATGTGTGCTATGGCTTAGCCTTGTGTGGTGAAGCCACCCGTACAAGGTAAAAGGGGGCAAGATCTTTTGTTTCCAGCATGACTAGCGAGAGAGAGAAGGAATTTCCCCAGGTCAGGAAAAGTCCCTGCTTTTGAAAACATCCACAGCTGAACAAACTGCTTTTTGCTACAGTGGTGGTGAATTTGAGGTACAATCAAGCTCTCTAGAATGGTGCTATTCTAGAAGTGCCAAAACCAATTGTGGATTCTGCAGTCTTGAACATGTAATATTTTGACCAGTTTTACAGCTTACCTGAAGGCTTTGCCTGTCTGGTTAGAAAAAGTAACTCTTCCTAAGAAAAGCACAAGGTTGTATGAGCCTTAGTGAACATAGCAGCTGTCTTAGTCACTTCTAGAAGCAATGTTTTAAATGCAGCAGAAAGGTTGATATGGGTGGGAGGGGAGCATGTATCATGAATTTAGAAAGTTTGTAAGTACACTAAAGATCATTGTTTAAGAAGTGATGGATTTTTTAGATGAAAGGGTGTTCCAAATTCTTCCAGCCAAAATGCAAACTTAATCCTGACAGACTTCCTGCTTCAAGCTAAATAAAGCTCAGAACAACTTCAAGAGCAGCAGGTGAAAGCCAGGGGTTAGACTAAAACAAGATCTTTCTGTAGATGTGTTAATCACTAAACTGTTGCCACCTACTCGAACTCGCTAAATTCTGTACAAAGTACTCGAAAACCACGTGGGGGAGCCAGTGCTTAACCAAACTGCCTTCCTGCACTTACAGCGGGAACCACTAGTTTAGATGGAGCAGGAAAGTGCCACACACAACAATTTTTCCCTTTAAGTGGCCACTCTGCACTGTGAGAATACTCCACCTTCCTGTGACCTGTGCTGAGATGAGCAGGAAGAGAATACAAATCCCCCAGAGATCTTCAGCTCAGCTTTCATCAGCTATTGTACAATAAGCTCAAAAGCAGATTTTACAAAGAACTATCCCAGTTGCACATCATAAATAGTAAAGGAAACAAACTTGAGCATCTTTTAGCATGTATCGCCCAAATTCAGATTCCAGAGCCTCAACTTTGGAAATTCTAGTGCTTGATAGAAAATCCAAAACAAAGCCTGGTTTAAAAAAATTTATTTTACAAAAAATAAAACCTAGTATTTACAAGCATTTTAAATACCAGCTCTAAACCTCAACTCATAACAATGGATTAAGACTTTTTAAAATGCCAAAGTCTTATGAACTTTAAGTTTGACAGGTCCAAAAGGGATTTTTTTAAAGAAATGTCATTACAGAGCTGTTGAAAAAAAAGCACTGCAGAATAGCTCATTTTTTTCAAAGTCAGAATCCCAAGTTCTTCCATCCTCTAACTACTTTTCAGGTGTATATAATGAAAAGAACCAGTTGTTTTATCTGTTAAGCAAACTGTAAAATTAGGGGCTGAAGAAGCAGGGGAGAGAAGAGGAACAAATACTTATCCATCTGCTGAACTAGCTGTGTTGCAAGGAGAAGAATAAAATTTGTAGGTTGAGTTGAAGAAAACTGAAGTCAGAGTATTGGTCCAATCCCCTGTCAAAGGTAAACTTTTGGGCCTCTGAATCTATTTCCAGAACAGTTCCTTAATACCCGTAAGAACAAAGCTGAGGCTCAGAACTGGTCAAACCTGTAACATACAGAATTAGAAACTAAGGAGTTCTGATCAAATCAGCTCCATTAATATCCACTCCTATGGCTGTTAAAGCAAATCTCCAAATATTTTTAGCTGCAAGGATCATTTTTAATGTCATCCACTCCCAAACCTCTGCAGTGATCAAAGGGAGCAATTTTCGCAGACTACACAAAGATAAAATTAGCAAAATATGAGGTGAAGCTGTCACCCTCACACCATGCAGACGTTTTAAAATAAGCTTTATAAAGCACAAATTGCAAATCTGTGTGCATGTCTGTGTCCATTGTCACTGGATTTCCAGACCCTTAGCTCTACTTAATAGCTACCATTAAATCTTCCTTGCAGATTCTGTACAGTATAAAGAGGAAAAAATAAACAGAGGTATACACAGTAGATTCTGTCCTTTGGCCTTGGTATTAAAAATATGGCAAACCACAAATGCTGGTATTAGGAATTCAGTCAACTCTTCTGGGTTTCAAATGAAGATGCAGCTCTTCAGCAACACTGCAGGCCTTGCGCAGCCTGTGGACTGGAGAGGCCTTTTGTTTGAGACACTATTAGGGAAAAAGGTTGAGGATAGCAGCTGCCAATGTGGTAAACATGTTCTGCTGAGGGGCACCGCTCATCACGGCTGCATGTTGTTGATAATGGTCAAAATGCTCATTTTCTCTTGGGCTGAGTCCACATCTTCATTTTGTTTCTGAGCCACCCCCGTGCCAAGGCCATACAGTCGCCCACAATACTTTGCATCGTCAATTGTATCCTCAAAAAACAACTGCAGATTTAAAAAAAAAAAAAACAGGGAAGAGAAACAGGTATTGTTTAATTGTGCCTCTAAATCAGAAAGCATCCAATGCTAATTAAACAGCTTATTTGAAATCGGCCACCCCTAAGATGCAGCGTGCAAATTAAAATAAGCACATGAAAGAGGAGTAAACAGAACAAGTCTGTGCCAATATCAACAACTCCTATTACTGACAGTTTGAAGTGTGATGGCCACAAGGCTCAAAAAAATCCAAAACAAAACAAAGAACACACTGTAGATGTTGACATTTATGGGTAGGAACGGGAGAAAGGACACTGCAGTACCTCTTTCATTCTGAAGAACGCCATTCCTGTGAGAAGAGAGTCTGATCCTGCCTGGTGTTGTCGTCCAATTCGCTGCAAATCCAGCTGATCTGCCACTTCCTGAAGGCCACCCTGCAAATAAAACAGAACAGGTTTTATTTTAGAAGATCTATCTCTTGCCAAAATTGCCACACTTCTCCAAAACATGAGGACAAACACTGAATATGATAAATCGATGCAGATTCCAGCAGTACGCACACACCAGCTGTGAGTGAAACACAGTGGCAAATACTGTTCAAGAGTGCATAAATAACTCTTCTCAAATTTAGGTGCCTTCCTTTTCCTGCTGCAGATACTTGAGATGACTGTGGGTACATTCATAGGTTACACATGCTGGACCTTTCCCTCCCTTTACTCAAACAAGGCTGTGATTCAGTAGATAGATTACTTTCAACCCTCTGAGTGTCTACTAACTGATTAACTAATGAAGTCATGGAGTGGTTCATGTAAAAGAAACAGCCCTGCATAGGAAATATGCTGAATTATAATTAGCCTCTGATACACAAACCGGAAGGGAATTCCCCACTATGGGAATGTCTCCTTTATAATAAACATACTGATAAGTCTCATGTGGAGAGGGCAGCATCCATTAGAGACAAACTGTGTCATAGCTGCTTCTGTGTCACCACTGGCTTTTACACAAGTTCCAGTTTTAAGACAACATAAGTAGCAGTTCTGTCACTTGGCTTCCTGTACATTTACAGTGTTGATGCCCATCACTTGCTTGCTGGGGAGAGACAAGTTACCTTGAGGTTTTTGCAGCTTTTCATTAAGTACTTCACGTCATAGATAGATGGGAAGAAAAGGTTCAAGATATGGAAAAATTCATGTTCCTCTTCCGGTAACTTGGAATCTGTCAACAACTTCACCATGTAGCCAAAATCATAACCACTGAAAAAAAACCCATACAGAAACCAGATAAGCAGGCAGCACCTGTAATTCAGTCGGTAGCAATATCTCATTTTTCAACAGAATTTTACTTGCTGTACCTTTCAAGCCTTAACATATTCTGACACTCATAAAAGTTCTCTGGATCAGAGCCAGAACTCATCCTGATTTTCATGCCAGTGTAGGACTTTGGAATCCTCCTTGAGGATTCTAACCTCTTGTGAAACAGCTAAGCCATTGGGAAGAACAAACATTTCTTCTCAACACTGTACATTTCTGTAGCTATGGGCAATACAGAAAAGCAGGAAACCCTGGAAGTGTCTGTTGAGAGAGGAGGAGGTGATGGCAGGTCCTTTCACTTGTGATGGCATCAGACACCAGAGGCTTTGCAATCAAGTTGGTTGAAAGGCTACAGGAAACACATCTTAACCACACAGATTTCTTGCTCTACGTAAACACAAGATGGAAGTTCAGAGCACCACCAACAGTATGGTAAGGAAAAAGAAACAAAATCCTTACTTTACAATGCATTTACTAAAGTGTAATCATATTTTAAATTGTTACTAACTTCTTGCATTGAAGGAGACTGTAACAGCAAAAGGATTTGCAAGCAACACATAAACAAAATTCAGACCATGAAGTGTCACATGTCCTTACTTCTTAAACTTGGCTTTCATATCTTATTTTAAGAACTGCAGGACTGCTAATTTTATTCCTTAAAATCTGTGTCAGTCTCCATGGAAAAAAGCACAGAATCAAGAAAAGATTTGACAGGGTCAGTGACCATCTCAGACCCACCTGTGGAAGGAGAGCCATTTCACACTGTCACTTAGGACAACCCCAGATGTCATCAGCAACTCAGCAAAATGCAGGGTGTCAATCCCTTCTTCTTCATGCTTCTGGAATTGCAGCCCAGAGCTGGCAAGGAGGTCTATGGAATCCTGAGAGTACATGTCCTCCCTGAAGAAAAAAAAACCAGGTTTGCACTTAAGGTGCTGCCAAGATAAGTTAATTTTAGAAAAATTGTCCCCACACAGTATTTCAAGAATTGGACTGACCAGTAAGAGACCTCTGGGTTCCACATTTGTCTCTCTAGAAAATTCAAACTGACTCAGTTTTAATATCATTACCACAGCCTCCTACATCTGTAACAACCTGCTCTGTGATCGTAACTAGTTAATAACTCTTGCTAGTGCAAATTCCAAAGATTCCAACTCCACAGAAATGAAACTGAGTTTTGAAAAATGCCTCTTCTGCAAGGCAAAGGGAAGCACCACAGAGAAAAGGGGAGTTCTCTCAAAGAGGAAGATGTGCAACTCTAAAGCACTGAGCATCATTCCTGTCTACATTTTTCCTTTTCACTTCACAGCATGTACCACTTTATCATCACCTCCACTTCCATCTCTGGGAGTAAACAAAATTGCATCACCCTTGACTCAGGAAGGAGGACGGGGATGAGTGATGATGTGCTTGGTAGAGAGCTGAGCAGGAACCTGACTTCTTTACTGGTTTGCTTCAATTGAGGGGGAGGAAAGGACATGACAACACACAGATCAAAGTTCCTATCAATATGATTACTCAGTCAAATGAAGTGATCACACTGTGAAAACCCCTTCACTCTGATTCAATACTTCTAAGAGGCTCACAGATTTGTGGAGTAAATAGTACAACTTTTGGGTTCAAGAACTGTGTGCCCTGCACAAAGTAACTAATGCTTTCCAATGACAGCTTCATAAAAACACTAATTGATTTCCTATAAGTGTGTGGTTTTGTCAGATAAACCTTTCTTTACTTCCAGGCAGCTCTAGTGGTAATTATGCTGAGTTTGTCTTTATAATTACAGGGGAAGGAATAATGAAACTTGTTTCAGCTGCAACCCAGGATATTGCAGTATGGAGGAGACAAGAACTGCCACGCTCCACTTAACAATATTCATTCTCCTGAACAGGTGTGATGATTACACCAACATGTTTTTAGATCCCAGTTTATATTTTAGCATGGATCTGTGAGGAGGTCTTTTATGATGAAAACAGCACATCCATTTATTTTTAGCAGAAAGACATGGATTTTTATATACATATATATATATATATATATACACATAAAATACATGAAGTTTCAGACTATAACATTGTTCCAGAATAAGACACATAAAATTATCAAGAGATAAAAGGGTATTAAGGATTTTAGCACAGTTTTGACTTCGAGAAACATTATTAACTCCTGGCACTCCAAAAGAGGTTCCCACATATTCTGCATTAGAATCTGAATTTTTATTGCTGGGAATTAGCCAGTGATGATGAGCACACGGACACCAGCATTTGCCAAAGGAAAACATCTCCACAGCAGAAGAGAACAGGAAATTATTCCCCGGCTCAAAAGACTCACGTGAGGTTGAATTTGAAGTTAAACTGCCAGGTGTTGATGCCAGAAGGATATTCCCCCTTCTCATTTGTGAAAGTTAGGCCCAGCTGGATAATTTTCAGCAGGTCGACGTTACACCGCAGGAGCTGGTACTGGTAGTCTGTGGAACTGCGGAATTCCCCGATCAGCCTGACAACAACTCCAGGAAACTCTGTGTCCTAGGACAGAAGGGAAAATTTTGTTTCACCATGTTCTCTGTTAGAAGTCACTATTATCCCTCTATTGGAAGTTTATTTGGTTCCACACCTGCAGGTCTCAGCACTGTATTCTGTGAATTATTCTGTTAAAATCAGCGGTTTTTTCCCTCCTTTTCCATATTCGTACAGCTTTTAAACTGCTACAAGTCAGACACTAAAAAACTCCACACAATTAATAAACTATTGCATTAATTTACTACACATATGCCTTCTTACAGTTTTGTTTTATTCCAAATCAAAAACGTTGCAAAGCCCTCCAACATGCATTACTGTACAATCTAAACATCTCTCCCTTGCAACAGACCCCCTCATTTTCTCTAAATCTACTACAATGAAATAGTTTTTATTTATTCAGCATTCTTTCACGTTCTAAATACAAGTTAGATTTGGCACTCTGACCATCTTCACTTGATAGCCCAGACAGTGAAACCTTCACTGTTTCTGAGGAACAGCCAATGCCTACATTAACAAAAATTACTATCAATCAAAACAGACTTCAACAACAGCAACCCTCTATTAGACAAAAAAACCATCTATTTGATGAAAAACATTTTACTTGGCCAGAGACTGTGTGCTACCTTTGCTGAAACCCAAACTGCCACACTATTTTTACCCTCAGATTAGGTCATGTAGCTTCTACTGACTATATGCAAAATCTTCCACAACGAACCCAGAGGTTGGTGCATCTGACAGAGTCTCTCCCTTGCCCAAGATGCTTTTGTGTCCACTCTGACAGCACAGCCACTAAAACAGGCCCTGAGCACACTTTCAGTGGGATGAAAAAGATGCAAAAAAGCTCATTTCCCACTGACATATGACAACAAGAAATCATATTCCCATCCACAACTGCATTTGACACAGAAATCCTGCACACACTGCAGGGGCACCTGTCTTTGTGCCAGACTTTTATTAAGGACTTTTCCTATCCTGAGGTTTAGTATTTCTAAGCAAAGTTGGCAGAACTTGCAGTATCAAAACTAAAACCAGTTCTTTAAGTAACTCACTGGGTGCTGCCAAGCAGATACAGACTTGTAAGAGCAGGAGGAGATTCCTCCCACCCGGGGGAGATTCTGGTCTTCTTAAACAAAGCTTTCTGAACACACTGTCTTATCTACAGCCAGAATATTTTTCTTCCCTAAGAATCAACATCTGCCCTCATTAAAAAGGAGCTGGAGGCAGCCCAGCTGACTGGATGTCAGGCCTTTTGACCTACAGTCCCATGGCATCTTCCACAGCCAAACAGAGAAAGACATCCAAAGGACAAATACACCAGTGGAAAAATAGAAATTTAAACACAATTATGACCTGTTCCATTTTTGTATTGTACAAACTAAAATACCATGAATAGCTAAATGTTAAATTAATTCATCTTTTTAAGTGGGTCTCCATCTTGCCCTTTTTTCACTCAATCCATGCTCAACACTGCTTGTATTAAATTCTGGAAAGTTACTCAACATCTTTTTAATTTTTCACCTCTTCTATCGCAGCTTGACTGGGGGTAGGGAGAAATCATTTCTCACTCAAGAATCAACTTACTCCCTCTACCCAAAAAAATCCCTTGACTAAGGCAATTAGGTCAAGTATAAAACATTTACCATGGCAATGTAGCTGTAACTCAGAACGATCTCCCGAATTTTCCTCATCTCTTCCTCCAGGTTGTTGGCCCATACTTCACAGATAACCTGGCTGTTCTCTGCAAGAGCTGCTGGCATCTTGCAGCAGAGGAAAGGCAGCTGATGCTGAACTCAGACAACAGTGCAGAATCACAAGCTGTGCAATCTTATCAGTGAGCTGCATTAAAGAGACATAAATAATGCTTTAAATGAAGAAAGAGTCACATGAGAATAAATGCTCTTTAGCAGTCAGTCACACTTCCATTTCCAGCTTCAAACAACCCATTTAAAGTTTACATCAAGTTTCTTCTTGCTTTTATCACTTTCTGTAAATGTGCTGATTGAAATCTAGAGCACCTTTTCAGAGCAGATGCACAATTAACAGTACAGTTATTCATGCAAAGAATCATTATCCCATCTTTCTCCTTCTCCTGGCATAAGCTCTGAAACTCTGGGCACACGATGTACAGCAGGGAATCCTCATGTTTAACCCTCAGCTACTGCCCCAGCCCTGGAAGTGCTCAGGGCCACGCTGGATGGAGCTCTGAGTAACCTGGTCCAGTGGAAGGTGTCCCTGCCCATGGCAGGGGGTGGAATGGGATGATCTTTAAGTTCCCTTTGAACCCAAATCATTCTGTGATTCTGTGATGAAGAGCTTTTAAACACAGTAACATAACGTGTTAGAGAGAACACTCACCAACATAAGTTTCAATATGCATGAATGTCTGACGGGGGATATGTCAAGAGGCTGGAACCAGGATCTGCTCAGTGGTGCCCAACAACACAAGAGACAACAGGCACAAACTTATGCACAGGAAGCTCCACGTGAACTGTGGAAGAACTCCTTTCCTGTGCAGTGACCGAGCACTGGAACAGATTGCCCAGAGAGGCTGTGGAGTCTCCCTCCCCGGGGAAATTCCAGAACCGTCCGGACGCAATCCTGTGCAATGTGCCCTAGGATGGCCCTGCTGGAGCAGGGACGTTGGACCAGCTGACCCGCAGTGTTCCCTTCCAACCCGACCCGCTCCGGGATGCTGTGATTCCCTGATCTAACTCAGGACACGTTGCAGGGGGGTATTTCAGCTTCAACATTCCAGCTGACACCGGCAGCGTCAGCAGCGCTACCCCGGGACAGCTCCCGGGCTGGAACACAGACCCTGCTCAGGGGTCCCGCCCAGCCCCCGGCCGGGCCCTGAGGCACGAGTCACCGCGGAAGTGGCACGAAGCAACCGAGCCTCATCAGCCCAGGGGTTCCCTCAGGGCCCCCCCCGCCCTCAGAGCGGCGGGGCCGCCCGGACGCGGCTCAGCGGCAGGGGGGAAAGCGGGTGGGCCGCTGTCCCCGGCGGCTAGCTCAGCCGCAGCCCGCTCCCAGCGGTGCCTGTGCCAAGGGCCCCGCGAATTCCCGCACGCACGGCGGTACTGCAGCCCGGGGCGAGCCCCGGCAGCGGCAACGCGCCGCTCGTCCCGCGCAGCCGCGATGGCTTCTGGATCCGCAGGTCCCTAGCCGCGGGTGGCGGCGCTTTCCGGTCTCCGCGGCTGCTTGCTCTCGCGAGAGGTGCCGAACCCCGGCGGCCGCAGCGCGGCGGGCGGGGCGGAGGGCTTGGGAGGAGAGAGGAAACGTTACGTTGCGGGCGCAGCAGGCCGCGCCGCCGCTGCACTGCGCATGCGCACGAGCGCTGGAGCGCAGTGTTTCTCTTCCCCGTCCCCCCCCTGCGGGTGCCCGGGAATGGGGCTCAACCGGGCTCTCAGCGCTGCGCGCGCGGGCGTCTGGTCCAAAGCCCGAGGGCGGGGGGAGGAACGACGGGGTGAGGGAGGCCGGGAGCTCCGCTCCCTAGGGGACACAGGCGCACATCGCGCCCGGCGGGAACGCATGGATGGGCTCGTCAGCATGGGGAGCCCCAGCAAGCCGACCCTCGGGACACGGGCTGCGCCGGGCCTTGGCTGAGCGTCCCCGGAAGGATCAGCGGCCGCCCCTCCCTCACCACAGGGGAGGTGAGGGGGTCCCCGGGTCGGGGCCAGGCCCGAGGGCGCGCAGGGTGGCGGAGCGGGATAAGGGTTCATTTTCCAAGGCCCAGAGTGCAAACCACCGCTGTCCCGGCCCTACGGTGCAGTGCGTATCGAGCTCATTAGTTGAGGAAATTCTGCTGCTTCCTGCAGGAGCGTAGAAGTCTTACAAGTCCCTGCTACACCTGCAGACTTTTAGTCTGGCTTCTGCTGTTCCGGGAATGGAATTTCAATTAAGTTAGCAACAGAAGGTTCTACCTGGTGAAGCAGTATAAGCGAACCGTTTGTGGAACGCGGCCGCCAACACTTTTGCGGGCTGATGCTGATGGCAGAGAGGCAATTTACTTGGAAGCTTGTCTACTAATTAAGCTTGGATAGTATTTCCTTTAGACTGCCTGCCTTCTGGACAGGGTTGCATCCATTATAAAATAAATATATGTGTGTGTGTGTATATATATATATATTTACATGCATTCTAGTACTGGGTTATCTGCCCACCATTTGGGAGTCTTTCTTCTCACTGAGTCTCAGCTACTTGCCCACCCATTTCGATCAAAGTATCTGGAAAACCGATTCATGGGCTCTTTCCCACTTCATAGTTCAGTGTCTCAGTTTTAATGTTCATGCCTCAGCAGAAATGTAACATTTAGAAGAGGGTTTTTGTGTGCTGCTCTCTGTCAAGTGACCTTGTTGCTGTCAACATCTTATGACATGCCATTATTTCATGTTATTTTGAGTCGAAGTTTATCTTCATAGATGATAGTTACCATTTTGCCTTAGCTCTGCAGTCTCTGGCATTGAGTATCTTATCTATTATGCAATATGCTACATGGGCAGAAAGTAATCACCTTTCTGCCCGTGGTCACTTGAGTTTGGGATTTCATGCTAGAAAACATGTTGTTAGCAGGTGAATTCACCAGGTTGGATTACAGCACTCTGTGCATAGATCTTTTTTTTTATTCCCTAAAGAGTTCAGAGTTAAATACACATACATATTTTTCTTGCTCTTAGACCCAGCACTCGAAGGTATGTTGAATCCAGGGGAAAAGGGAGGATGCATCTTCTCAGGACACTGTAAATATCTGTGCCTTGGTACTCTCACAAAAATGTGTTGCAGGCAATAATTGCCTGTGATAAATTACACTTGCAGTGTTTAAAAATTCCTGTGTAAAAAAAGGCTGTTGAAGGATGTTTGCAAGCACTGGTGGGGAGTGCTGGTGACATATTTTGCTGAGGGAGATCAGAATTTGTTTCTCCAAGCATGGCTGATTTTGATCATTGCTAATAAAGATGAAGAATAGCTGGAAAAGGCACCTTCCTCTTTAAAAAAGTCCCATGGTTTTTGTACTTGGAAGTTACCATGCTCCAGGTCCAGCAGTCCAAGGAGTCCTCACATCCTCTGGTTCTGTTAAGACCAGAGTACAAAAAACAGTTTGTGTGTGTAGAGCTACATTATAAAGTGGAATAAAGGGCTTTAGCTCAACATTTTCATGTTGGGCAGCTGGAGCTGCATGTCCTGGATCATGCTCTGTAGAAACAGTTGTTCCTTTCTTTGTGTTCCTTTCCTCTCAGTCACAGCACCACAAATGAGGAAAAAACTTACTTATGGAAATCCTAAAATTTTACATTTTTCTAACCCTTCTGTGGTTCCACAGATGCTTCCAAAGCCACCAGTGCAGTAGTAGGTGGTGGCCACGTGTGCCCTAGGAGATGATTAGAAATCTGGTTCAGAACACAGGGAACTAGGGAGTAGGTGAGGCATGCCAAGGTCAGATTCCTCTTCAGTGTTAGAGGAACTATCAGAGTGGGCTTGTACAAGCCTGAAATGTACTTCAGAGATTTTCTCCTGATACTCTTTTCAAACAGTGAAACAACCAGTGACTATTAAAAAAACTGTGGAGAGTGATCAAAGGTATTACGTCTCTAATCAAAAAGCTTTTCTGCTGAGAAGAAATCAGACTTCTTGCATTCCTCAGCAAAGATTGCACCAGCCTTGGAGTGTCTGTGGTGGAGACACCAGTGCAGGGCACAGGACAGCCAGCAGAGAAGCAGCTGATTAGTGACATGTGCTAGACACAAGTTGCAGCAGAAGATAAATGACATTTACATCCCTATGATGTAATGTCATGAGCTGTCACATCCCTGATGTGCTGAGCTGTCTGTTCCTATGGGTATGAATATTTCAGAGATCACCCATGTTGGAATTGAGCAGTGGTTACAAAGGAACACTGAGGTCTTTGAAATTCACTGTTTTATCAGCTGCTTTTGGCTGTTGGATGGACAATCCTCCCACTGCAATCTCAAGTCCAAACCAAGATGGGCTCAGGACATCATCCATGTGGCATCCCCCTCTTGAAATGCCCATTTCCACTTCCTCCTCTGCATGTGAGTACATAGTTTGAAGGAATCACATTCCTCCCTGTTGAGTCTGCTGTCTTTGATAAATAACAATTAGTAGCAGTAGCTAAGAATTACAAATTCCTACTATGGAGCAGTTGGAATTAGTCAAGAGAAAGTGTCAACAGCAACAGTAACACTGTTAAATTCTAGTCACGCTTGCAGCCCTCCACAGCTCCAGCTCTGCTGGTGTGAGAGGTTCCTTCACCTGAGAGTGGCCATACAAGGCTAACTGTGAGGGAGAGGTGATATTCCTTGTTTTTCCTCATGTGAAAAAATAAGTCTGGAAAGTTATGATAATAACACTCAGTTCTCAGAGCTTAGTTTGTAATAAGTCACTACATATTGGGTAAGTAACAGATTGGGGCCACATTTGCATAATAAAGACCAATACTACTGTAAATTACATCTTGCTCTCTGCAATACCATAATTACAGACTTTATGGTCTGTAAACATCATATTCAAAGACAACTAAGCCCAAGCACGTGCTAACCTATATGCATCTTCTTCCTCATGGAACCACTGCCTGTGACTGGTTGAGGACACTGTGTAACAACAGCGTTGGTGTAATTTATAGACCTAGTACAGCAGAATGAAAACTGGACTGCTGGTTTTTTGCCAGATTGCACAGTAGCCCTTATTGCTTTTAACAAATACACCTCTGACCCATTCAGTTGTACTCACTCTAGCTATTTTGTGCTCAAAACATGAGTTGCTGTATTATAAAAACTACTTATCCTTAGGGCGTTGGTGGCTCTTTTATTCTCAGGTACTGTGATGAACTCTTGATGAAAAATTCTTACCTGCAGAGATGCATTGCACATGCTTAACTGAGTAACAGCACATAGGCACGGGGAACACTGCCAGCACTAACAGTGAGTGACATGGCACTGGCTTCACATGACTTGTCTGGGAGGGGACAGCCGGCTCTGCTTGGAAACACACCCCTGTTGCCTTTGCCTAAACCCTCATAAAGTTTCCACAGCAGTAGTGAAAGGTGAAGAGTTGAAGTCTGGGCTCTGAATAGACACAAAGGACCTCTCCTAGGCTACCATCAGCAGGAGGTGAGCGAAGAATGGGCAGCCAGAGTTCAAGGGTGTAGGAGCTTGAAAAGATATGATAGAAACTTTGAGGAAGTCATTAAAAGGCAGTATCGTGTGTCTGTGTGAAGTCCATTGTGAGCTTTTCTAGGAACAGTGGTTGCCCTCAGACCTGTGCAGGGCTTGGTAGGACATCAAACAACGTCTGGTCCTGTGTCTGTCCACAGAGCTTCGTGGATATGCAACTGCTCAGGTGACCAGGTGAGTGGTCCTGTGTTTTTGTTTCTATATGTTCTGTACTTTCATGAATAGTTACAGCCTTTTTTCTCCCAGGAGCAGCTTTCCACTGTCTGTGCGCTATAAAGGTTGATTCCAGGGAATTAAGGTCTACAACAGAAGGTTTAAGCAGGAAGGCAGAAGGAATACCAAGGTGGGCAGCCAGTCACTCAGCTGCACCCTCTGTGCAGGACTGTCTGGCTGCTGTCAGAAGGGTGCAGTGCAATGGGTACAGTGCAGGGGGAATGGCACCTGTGGTGCCTCATCTTGGGCACCAGAAATCTAAGGGGACAGCAGAGATGGGGCTGTCTGCCCCATAATGATGCACATGTTAAAACAATTGTAAAAAATATGGCAGTTCTTTCCTTTTCAGATTAAACTGAGCATTGTAAAACATGGCTTAGACAAACTAACCTGTCCTGGTATCTGAAGTGGAAAATTTGCTGAAAACAGATCTGTGACTTAATGAACACTTGTTGGACAAATGAAGTTATACATGGAAATAATAATTTAAAAAATGTAGTAGAATTCTTTTTTGACTAGTGTATGTATCCCCTTTAATGTCAAGAGACTGACTGGAAAATCAATTACTCTTACTTCAAGGTTGAGAATTTGATCTGGATCAATTTTTGTGTTAACTAATATGAAATAACTGAAAAGGAACTCTTTTTTTTCTTACACAGCTCTAGTTCTAGCTGATATTTGGAAATAGCTGCAGGCAGCTGAGAGCTTCACTGGTTGATTTGGGGCTGTAAAACATGCCAACATGAGAGCAGTGCCAAGCAGTTGAATGGCTTTTTTGTTTGCTGAAACAGCCATGGTTACATGAATGGTTTTTTAATGTATTTGGTTTATCCTGAATCAGGAGAGACATTACCCAACACTAAAAAGAGTAGGTAATTAGATGTTGGGGAAAACCTCATCCATCCAAATTTATCTTGGTTTAGTGTAAATAATGTAAAGTTTTATCCTGAAGTGTGGCTTACTAGAGGTTGCATATTGCATTTTACACATTAATAAGTGTTGCACATTACTGTTTTCAGCTCCCTGCTGAGTGGTTGTAAAGATAGGGATGTGCACAGCCAAAGGGCAAATAATAGGAGTTATAACAAGGCAAATTCTGAGGGGAAAAAAATCACAGTGAAGGTTGCCAAATGCTGGAACAGATTTCCTGGAGAAGCTGTGGAATCTCCCTCCCTGCAGACACTCAACTGTTGAAGGCTCTGAACAACCTGTTAAGAAAGCTGGAATGGAACAAAACCTCAAAAATAAATGGATTATTCAAGCCTGACATATTTCAAGTATTAGTGGTGTTTTCTTGGAGGCAGTGGGCACACCTGCCCTGAGAGGACCTCTGTGACAAGATGGGCATATAATGCATGTTATGTAACAGATGTGATCAGAAGGTCTTGTAAAAACTGTGATAAGATCAATTTAAATTTATCCTTGTGGCAAGGATTATTCACGCTGTTGTGTTCAGGCCAGCAGGTTATTTACGATTGTTTCTTACGGGTATTCTTCATCAACTATCTTAGAGTCCAACTATATTTTATCAATAAAATTGTGGTTGGCAAACAACATATAAGAGGAGAAGAGGATTGGCCCTGGCAGCTCACAGAGTCCAGTAGTGAGGAGCTCTAGGTCTGGGGAAAGACAAGAAGCCCTGGACACTGTGAGCTCCCTAATGCATTCTCATTTTAAGCAATAGCACCTTAGGGCACTTCTCACACTACCTTTTTTGGCCAAGGGAGACAAAGTGAACTTGGGTGTGGGGTTTTTTTAAGACTGCTACCAAAAGTTGGCATTTTCCATAGGAGTACATCCATCCCTGGTATTGAAATAGGGGTTGGGAGTTGAGCTCACAGTTTCCAGTTTCAAATCACTTTTTGCCTAGTTTTTCTTTTTTCCTTCTCAAAACTGTTTAACATTAGTTTCTTCCACTGAAGTGTGTGGTGGGCTGTTCTTGTCCTTTTCTGTCCATGAGTAAGCAGGAAGAAGGTGTCTTAATTTTTCTATCTCATGCCCTTTAGCCTGCATACTAATATGTAACGTAGAGAAACAGAGCTGGAAACACCTGTAAATAAACAGACTTATATTTGCAAGAACCCAGAAGGCTATAATTTCAAAGGGAAACTATAACCTTCTGGCTAATAAGGGGACTTCTTTTTGGCAGTGTATTCCTCCTTTCTGAGTCGCTGCAAGAAGAGTACTCCTAAGAGGCTTCCCTCCATCATAAAGGTAATAGAATATCATCTTCCTAATGGGTAATTTTCCAAGTGTTTTTGCCTTAGACAGGTGCCTTTAAACCTCTCTGTGCTTTCCTTTGTACCTTAGGTAACATGTTTTGCCTGTGCTTGAATATTCTGCTGAGTATGAAAAGCAAAATGGATTAAATTCCTCAATCCTCAGTAATCTGGCTGTTGTATTATTAGAACTTGTGTGTTTGTTCTTAAAGATCATGTGAAACCAAGAAAACATTAAGGAATGTTTTGTTAACTTTTGCTAATTATATTTGATGATAAGAGCATTGCAATATAAAAACAGCTACACAATAATCCCTAGGACATGGCCTGACATAGAGAACCCTTCATGGCTGTGGCCAGTGGTGAAGGCCCAGCAGCTATTTAAACCTTGGGTCTGATTTATTTTTGAAGTTTTTTTTAACAAAATGATTAACAAATGGTCAAGCCAGAGCCAGATGCAAGGGGATTTATTATGAGGTGGCCACATGTCCATTTAGGACTTTAACCCTCTAACTGACCGTAGCAGGACTTGAAGCAAAGATGATTTTATCAGTTACCATGTTCTTAGGCTGTAATTTACAGTTTCTCTGCCACATGAGTGAAGGCTGTGTGGAGCTCTACTGTGTTAATCCTTTGTGGCACAAACTCACTTTGTTGTTCTAGGATTTTTTTTTTTCATTCCTGTTAGTTTAACTGCATGTTGTTGTTATGGAAGGAAACATCCCACATCATTATTTCCTCACAGTCTGAGAAGGGCTGGAGCTGCTGCTGGGTGCACTGTATTCCTGGGTCAGATAAGGGAGGCAGATGTGCCACAACACACGTGTGCCACGAGCAAAAAGCTTTGGGTTTGGCTATCCTCCCATATTTCTTTGTTATTTTTGCATGCCTGTTAGTCTTCTGGGACACTTCTAACTCATCAGGAAATAAGGGCATTTTTCTTCTCTAGAGCTCAGCTTTGCTCGATGGTCAACATGAAGGATGGAGCAGGACAGGACGGGGCACACAGAGTAAATATTTTACACTTTTGCAGCTGACTGGAAGTTGAGGGGATTTGCTGTTGCCAGCAGTGTGTTCTTTCACTCTCCAGCTGTCCAAGGTTCACTTACTTACATCACCTTTTATTTCAGATGAAAAGAGACTCTGGATATTCCACCGTGGCTGAGCAGCAGAAGCAGGTAAAGGCTCAAGGTCATCTTTTAAGGGAAGAATTATCCAGGTGCTTTGGAAGGCTGGATGTGTTGAATCATCTTCTAAGAGAAGTGACAGACACATCCACATTCCGATCACTTTAGTACAATTAGGAGCTCATCTCTTATCACTACAGCAGCATTTCCCCTGTGTTTTTCCCTTCCAGTGGACTGCAGCTACAGCAGCAAGTGAGGAAAGGCCTGTTATCTTTGTGTGGCAAGAACCCACAACACTCCCCCATAATCAGAAGCTGGACCACCTCACTGGGCTCAGACCCAGCTGATGTGCCCCAGTCTCTTCACCATGCCAGCAGCAACCCTGTTCTGCACTTAAGGAATTTGCCAGCTTCTACAAGCCCTTTAAGGGCAAGAAGTCAAGCAATCCATGAATTAGTTTGGAAACTACTGTGCTGGAGCTGTTGGCATGAAGAGAAACAGGGTGTTAAGTACTTGGACTTGATGAACAAGATTTTTTTTATATATATATGTAAACTTCTCTGCTTCTACAGCTCATGTAATTACATTGTGTGTGACTTGTTCATGTAATCACTTCATCACATGCAATAAAAGCACAGCCCCAAAACAAAACAGTTTCTAGCCAAAGGGCTTTTTAAATAGCTGAGGTTCTGAGCTTTACCTACTCTATCCTGTCTCAAGGCAAGACTTGCACAGTGTGTGGTGAGTACTAGGAGTTACTAATTTTTGAAACTTTTGAGTTCTTCAGCTGGAGGATGCTAAAGCATCTGAAATCTTATTTGGTCTAACTAAAAATTTTAACACTTGTAAGACATCAGAATTTTTGTTTGGTATGTTCTTTCTTCATCCCAGGAGAAAAAGCTCAAAGCTTTTTATAGCTTTTATAACATTTTTTTTTAAAGAATCGGTGGGTGATGTTCCAGGGTCTAAAGATTAAGAAAGTCTTACTTCAGCATAACATGGAGGCAAATGGATGTATGAAATTGCTAAGAGAGCAGATCTCCAGCCCAGGATCCAGCAGGCACTATCTGAAGCTGGAGTTGAGACTTTTGCCAGCCTGGCCTTTGCAGTTCAGTACAGCCAGTGATAACACTGTTAGCTGATAGCATTGCTATAATATAAACCTGTAGGGTTCACAAACATCAAGCTGTAGGGCAAGAGTCCTGGCAATTAATTCCTCCCCAGTTGCTCACTTGATTAAAAAAAAAAAAGGTGATAAGAGGAAATGTTTGTTTGTTTTAATAAGGAATATTTCAGTGCTAACAAGCAAAGTTCTGTCCTGGAACAGATAAATATTGCTGACAAGTCCTGGGTCACATTTAATGTTCTGTAGCTGTTACAGAATCTGAAAGCCACGTAAAGAGAATTTTTCTATGTTGCATTACCCTAAACCACCTGCATTCAATGTTTCTCAGTGAGCTGCCTCTCTTGTTTGTCCTCTCTGACAGAAGACAAGCAGAACTGCAACTATGAATCATACTATTTCTACTCCAGTCTGTTTGTACAGCACAACACCACAGTTAAAAAACAGGAAGGACAGAGGAATGAAGAAGACAATAGCTGGTTATTATATAATATTATTTTAAAATTACATTGATTTTTTTAAAAAACATCCTGTAGATAAATATAATTCATATTCACTCAGGAAAAACCAAACTAAGATTGCTGAACTCCAGAACCAATTGAAACTTGGGCCACTCTAAAAGACAGATGATTAATTACAAATTTGTCATATATTTGCTAAATATATTCTTGGTTTTGAATATTTAAATATATTCTTGGTTTTGAATATTTAAATATTCAAATATTGAATGCTGCTTTTTGAATATACTTATTCCTAGAATCAAAAGGTCTCACTGGTAATTTTCTGAGTCTTGCAGTTGCTCTGTACAGTTAAAATCCTTACTGTGATAAAAAGTCCTGCTAACATTAGAGCTGCCCACAGGAATATTTCCTCAGAAGATAACATTTCTGTGGCTGAGAGCAGGGATTTATAGAACTTTGTACTTGTGAGAAGCTGAGTGTTTTAGCTCCCTGTTGATGTGCAGTTGTTTTATACAGATGGCACATGATACCTGCTGGCCAAGTTGTACTCTCAGCATTGGAGCTGAGTTGTACCTGTGATGGCCTAAAGGCACAGCAAAGTGAATTACGAAAGGAAAGGTGTTAAAGCTCTGTTATACTTGGGGAAAAAAGGCAAGTTTCTGGGCATGTGGGCAATGGGCTTCACAAAGGGTCTTCAAAACAAAAAGGGATGTTGAGAGGAGAGGTTCTGGATTAACTGGAGCTGTTAACCAGGTCATCTGAGCACAGCAGTTCTTGACTATTTTGGGTGGGAAAAAGCATACTGTATCCTGGGAGGGAGAAAATACTGAAGGAGGGAGGTGCTGAAGTGGAGCACCACTCCTTACCCCCAGGTGTTCTTTTCCCACTGCTCCGAGTTATCCAGAAGCTCCTTGTATTATAGCCCTCCAGGTACTGAGCAGCATGCCAAATAAAAACAGAGAGGGAAAAATCAGTGGTCCTTTCTCTCCCTTTGGTTGTTCCAGAGAAATTCCACATCAGTGACACGTCAGGTCTCTGTAAGCATGGCAGATGGATGTGTGTGTACTCCCCCCTCAATTACACACAATATCCCATAACAGCTTTGTTACTTTAGAGTGTGTATGAAACAAAACAGGCCATCACAGGACTGCCTTTACCATTGCAAATACCAAAAATGCCAGGGCAGGCCTCAGCAGCACGTGCTTTCTCTTTTTGATTCTCACAGGAAGAGAAGCTCTGGGATGCCTTGAAGATCAGTGCCTATGCCTTCAGTACAGGCCTGCTCATGTTCACTGCCTTAGTGAACTCTGTTTCTTGGTAAGATTGTTCAAACAAAGTGGCTTGAGGGGAAACTTTTCTGTGAAAAGGGGAAAAAAGTGGATGACAAGAAGATGGGCAACCAAGAACTCTTATTTCCACAGGTTTATGCAGGATATAACTTTAGGCAATTTCTGGCAAACAACATGGCTGAAGTTCTACAACTTCTTTGAGGGAGATGAGTGGACAATCTTCCTCCTTGGTGAGTTTTAACAACACTCCTCTGTAGGAGAAATCATCCATGTACTGTATGTAAAAGGGGTTCATGGACCTGCCAAACTCACTAATCCCACAGAAAAGCACTGGCTTGGAAGCCAGAGGCAGCTGATGTTGTGCATGTTCTGCCTTTGAATGGGGTCACCATTAGACCCCCTGTACAGATTAAAAATCTGATTTTTCTGCTGCTGAAATGGCTTCCCTGCGAAGATACTTTGCTCCTGTGAGAACTGAATGACTCAGCAGAACTGATTACTAAAAATTTAAGTACAATTAATGGATTTTACTCTTGCTCTAGTACCTGTAAAACTCTTCTCTGTGATTAACAGCTGGTGAACAGAACTTATAGGGACCTTGCAAGGTTCTAGGGATCAACTCAACGTTATACTACTTGTATTTAAAAGTAACCCAGAACAGAGAGGCCTTTTCTTAGCCTCAGTTTTCTCAAGTTTCAACCTGTGAGACATTTGTCCTCTCTAACCTCCTCCCCATTCTTTAGATCTTACCTGGATGTCAAAACTTACCTATATTCCATTTTAAAGCATCTCAGGGCAGGTCTTGGCACATCTGAGTTCCAGCAAGGTCCTCTGGATACTATGCCAGTGTATTTTGTTTCTGATTTATTCATAGCTCTCAATTCATTCACACATCTCTGCCCTCTCCTCATGCCACAGGGGCTGCATTGATGCCTGCACTTGCTTTCTGGGGCTTCAATGGAATCCTTATGGTGGCTGATATAACAGGAAAGCCAACTTTCATTACTCGCTATCGCATTCAGCTGGGCAAGAATGATCCTGTAAGTACTTCCCACTCTGCCTCTTCTGCTGGCTAAACACTTCCTGCAGTCTCTTAGGCCAGGAATGGGGAGAAGAACCTGTTATGCTTTTCTCTTGCAACCAGGTAGGATTCCAGGAGAATCAAGCCAAGTCTTGTATATCCACTGCAGAGAGGAAGGCAGATCCTATAATCAGGTTACTGATCAGATCTGGATTGACAGCTTGTTAAAAAGTTGGTCCCAAAAAGAACTGCCTATAAATCTAAAAGCTTTTTATCCTTCCAACTAAAGCTGCATCACTTCTTACTTTGCCTCAAGTCCTGACTTCTCTTTTGCAGGTGGACACAAAGAAGCTATGCCAAGCCATCTACACAGCACTGGGTAATCAGTTCTTTGTCTCCTTGCCTATGCTTGTGGCCATGTTCCATGTCATGAAATGGTGGGGCAACACCTTCAGCAAGGAATTACCCACTTTCCAGTGGTTTCTTGTGGAGCTAAGCATCTTCATCATAATAGAGGAAATTCTCTTCTATTATACACACAGGTGAGCTGAGCACAGGAACAGGACTCTGATTCTCCTCCATGCCTTTAAGCTTATACTCATCTCCTACAACAGCAATAATCCTAGTCCTCCTCTTCCACCAGTCTAGTATTTATATGGGAAAATTTACAGGTCCTGAAATGCACCCTTACAACATGAGGCTTTGGTGCTGCCACTACCTAGAGTAAGCAAAAATGGGTAAAATTACAAAGGTGGAACAGCTTAGAAGCTAAGGAAGAAAGAAAACAGGCAGCTTTACACAAGAGCTGTGTTCTTTGAAAAGAGTGAGGCTCAGTATCCTGAAAGAAAAAAAGTCCAAAAGGTCAGTGACTGATCTCCCGTTCCCTTGTACACACCTACGAAACAGGGCCTGGCTCCCAACACTGCAGGATTTCTAGAGGACAAAGCTAGAACAAGGAGGACAAAGGCCTACAAAAGCCCATGCAGAAGTGAGCTCAGCACTCTTTGTCCCTTTTAGACAAATGCACAAAAAAAATGTAAAATCTATTTCTTACAAAGGGCCCATGGAACCAAAAATTCTGACTCTAATAGTTGGCAGTTGGAAAAGTCAAACCAGTGAAAATACAGAGTCTTCCCCTAAGCAGTACTCCCATATTTGAGCAAATGAGTCATTCAGGGACATTGATTTATAGGATTTATGTGGACTAAGTTTAACATCAGCCAGTGGACACATCAATTGAGTGAAGGCTCAGTACTATAGAGAGAGAGCATAGGAAGGCAGGAGTCCTACACTCTTATTCCCAGTTTAAATCCTTAAGTGAGAGGAGATATGAGCACGTCCCCCACAGAAATTCTGTGTTCTGTTATTCCATGTTCCTTTCTGCAGAGCTCAAAACCTGCCTTTCTCTGTTTTCTCCTTTCTCTGTTTGCTCTGCTTAGGCTTGTTCACCACCCAGTCCTGTATAAGCACATTCACAAGAAGCACCATGAGTGGACAGCCCCCGTCGGCGTGGTCTCCATTTATGCTCACCCTGTAGAACACATAGTAAGTGGATTCTCCCATAATCACCCTCCAGTTGCTGTGTGGAGCATGATTTCCATGGGATTAGGAGAAGTGGTAAGAGAAGAGAAGCAAATGTGATCAGTGTTTGCAGGAGTGTCTCCCAACGCTGCTCCAGCTGAGACTTCCCAGAAAACACATCCCACCTTGAAAAGATTCTACTTAGAAGTCTCATCTCCTGTTAACAGGAGTCCTGGGCCAGAGCACCAGCTCTGAGTCTCTCTGTGTGTCACGGGCAGGACACAGTGAAGTGATGCAGATCATCACATCACTGTGTGTGTCCACAGGCCTCCCTTTTACAGTGAGGTTTCCCAAGAGCAGCCTCAGTGTTATTCCACAGTGAAGCTGAAATTCATACCTCAGACTCCAGGATGATTTACTGGAATCATGCTGCCCTCACATCCATGGTTTGGTCTCATGTCTAACTCCTCCTACAAGCTTAGGGAGCTTGGGCTATGACTGTGGTTTGCAGTTAGTAGAACTCTGTTAGTCCCATAATTATTTTTTGGATGATTATGTAGCTTTATTAAGATGTTCACAGAGGCATCTTCCCTTTGTGCTGTTTGCACAAAACTAATGTCATGCATCACCCAAGTGACACAATTCAGCTCCTAGAGGAGGGTCTGCTTGTTGTGGAGCATTACTGAGGTGGTTTGTTCTCCTTTCCAGCTCTCCAACACGCTGCCTGTCATAACTGGCCCGATGGTCATGGGGTCTCACATTGTTTCAATCTCAGTGTGGTTCTCCCTTGCTCTCATAACAACAAGCATTTCACACTGCGGATACCACCTGCCCTTCCTGCCATCTCCAGAGTTCCACGACTTCCACCACCTCAAGTACGTCTGGGCACTGCTCAGCTTCCCCTTCCCCTCCTGCCGGCACTCCGGCACTGCTGGTGGGCAGAGCTCCTTTCCAAGGGTCAAGTGGGTTTGCACGACTCATGTACAGGCAGAGCAGCTCTCCAGTTCACCTGCTGAATGCTGCCAGTTCTTACAGCAGTTAAACAGATCAGGATTTCAAGGGACTCCAGCCCTGTCAAAGACAGTTCTCTGCAAGGCTCTTCCTAGAAGTTTAGAGGACATTGCATGTGATGTAAAGACAGAGCAAGGGCAAGTCACACAGGTGAAGGGAACATGCAGGAAGCCTGTCTGTTCCTCTCCCATGCACTGGGATTAGAAACACTAATCAGATAACACCTTGCCCAGACAATCACAACCCTTCCTGGCAGAGATTCCCAGCCTCCTCCTATTCTGGAGAGAGCAGTTGCAGCAGGTTGTTCAGGGACACATACCTGAGCAGTGGAAGAACTGTTCCCATCTCCCAGATGTGTACCAGATTCTTCAAGTCTGCCCCTCCTACAGATCCAGCCCATGGGACAGTTCACTCACCCCCCAAATGTTGGGCAGCACAACAAACATGGTGCCAGTTCTTATCTGTTGTTTCCTCTGAATCTTAGCTCCTGTCAGGACACAGATGATTGCAGATCCAAGATGCTCTCTGGACAGGACAGCTGTGCCAGTATCCCAGTGCTGGAAGCACAGCCACTCTGTGTCCCATGGCAGTTGAGTCTTGGGAGCACATGAAATGGTAATACAAGTGTCCAGCTGCTCCCACAGCTCAGCTGCCCAGGAGAGTCCTGGCTGCTGCTCAGTGCCACCATTTCTGGGTAACAAAGGCATCAAAGAGGGAAGCTGCACAAGTTTCACCCAGGCTTCAACAGAGCTGCCAGGGAGACTGGTGCAGGGACAGAAATCACAGACAGGTTACAGGGCTCCCAAAGGAATGGAAATACGAAAGGCGAGGTAACCTCAGTAGCTTTCTAGCGATGTTTATCTTCATTTGGTTCTCAGGTTCAACCAGTGCTATGGAGTCCTGGGAGTGCTGGATTATCTGCATGGCACAGACAGAGTGTTCAGACAAACCAAAGCCTTCGAAAGACACAAGGTCCTCCTCGGCCTCACACCGCTCTCCGAAAGCATCCCCGAGGCACCCAAGAGGGCCGAGTGAACCAGCCCAGCAGCTCCTGTGACCAGCAGTGAGAGACAATGATTTATGCCAAATAGTATTTTAACTGGGAAACAAGTTATTGTTCACACGTAATGAGACCCGAAACTGAAGTCAAACATGCTGCTGGAAATGACTGCACATTTACTGCAAAAAACTCTTGCTCTAGAAATCTACTTTTAAGCAAAATGTAGTGGTTTGCTTCTTAATTACTTGCACTGTCCCTTGGTTCCAGCTGCCTGTGCATGAACCAGGTGTGTTCTGGGCCATGTGACTCTGGGGAGTTTTCATTAAGAATTACTGAGGTTTTGGCACCAGTTTCCACAGGCAACTCTCAGCAGCACTGATTCTATAGAAACACCAGCAAGGTCACTGTAATTGCATGTGATAGTATTAAAACCACTATTTTTCTGAGACTCAGAGCACCTGGGATAGTAGATGCAATCCCATGGAAAAATCAGTGGTCGCACAGCTTTAGAAACTCTCCCAGGTCTCTCAGAGACCTGACTCCCCCTGAGCAGTCTCTCCTTGGGAGAGGTCAGTCCCACTCTGAATTAGAGCTGTCACAGCCTCATGGCTGCTCCACAGACCAGTGGCAAACAAAAGTGAGATTCCCCTCATGGGACAGGGAAGGAGCTGGGAGCTGATGTGCTACCTGCCATCACCTCCTCCTGCTGAGCCTCATCTCGCTCCAAGATACAACCAAAATTCCACAATGATAAATTACAGAAAGAGTCTTTCCAAGGAAAGCTGAGTTCCTGCTGTCCTGAGCTGTGTGGACATCAGTGAAACACTGTAAGAAAGGACTCAACATAGCTTTATCCACATCCCCAAGTACCTACAGACCTATTGAGACATACTGTGAATTTTCTCAATCTTTTTAAGTTCCAGTCTTGCCTGGGGGCCTGGGACAAAAACAACACATCTCCCCCCAGTGCTAGAGCAGCCCCCTGAGGAGGGGACACGCAGGGCTGACCTGTGCTGCACTCACCTGTGGTCAGCCCAGCTCTACCTGTGGAAGTCAGCTCACTTCCCCAGCCCTCCTCTGGTCCCTACAGCCACACAGGGATGAACCTGGCCCACTCATCAGCTCCCAGCTCCCTTGGGAGGGCAAGTCAGAACAGAAAACCCAGGCTGCGATGTCTTTTGAAGTTTTTATTTTTATACATTTTTTTTTGTATTAAAAAGGAAAAAGCATAATTACCACAAATTACAAAGGACTAAAGCATTACTAGAATAATGAATCACATCAGCCTAGAAAGCAGATAATCTGAATAATATTAATGTTATAATACAAGCTCTCATTCAAGTATTTTACATTTTTCTCTTTTCCGTTTATACGTGATGATGATCCTAGCACATGGGTCAAAGATTATGTACTATCAACAGAGATGGATCATGTACAGCCGGCCGTATTAACAAGATTTTCCTCCCAAGTGATACATGGTCTGTGATGAGTCATTTTAAGTTTGTCTCTACGATAAATGCAGCTGAAGAAGGTTGCACACACTTTCTAGTTTTGGGAAACAGAAGGCTGAGGTTGGACACATGGGGTTTGAGAAGGGCCAGCACATCAAACCATCACCCCTTTAGCTCCAGGCGAGAGAGCAGAGGGCTGCACTCACTGGGGTGCAGCTCAGCAGGGGTTTCTGAGCCACAGATCCAAAGGTTTTCAACCCCAGCGGGACCAGGACAGGCTGGGAGGGGAGGAGGGGGAGCGGGGCTGCACCAGGGAGGCTTGAAGGGACCAAGTGGTGCCAAGCACCCCCTCCCACGAGGGGCACCACGGGCACAAGCCCCCCTGGTGCAGGGCTGGCACCTGGGGAGCAAGCAGGGACAGCACGGGGGGGCCAGGGGGACCCCGGCACACCCTGCAGGGCCTGCTGGCACCCAGGACACTCCCCGCTCCTCTGGAGCTTCCCACCAAGGGGATGTGCTTGTCACAGATACATCGGTCCTATGTTCAAGTGTCTGCAGAAAGTGAAACTGTAAACTACGCCTGGAAATGCTGCCCTCCAGCCGCCTGCTCCATGCCACCGAGAGGAACATCTGTTAAAAATGTCATTTATCTGTTACCTGTACTGGAAGCTTTAAAAAAAGCCAATGAGGCATTTAACATCAAGTGTAGCAACCCCCTCAAGAAGAGCCCAGCACCCATTTCAAACAGTGACAAGTGACATAACCAGCCTCAGAGGAGACAGGAGACAATAAGCATTGCAAACACAGCTTGCTACATATACAATTTTCCTTTTTTTTTTTTTTCTCTTTTTCTTTTTGACAAAATAACTGGAAAGGCATTAACAGCTAGAAGGCCCCCTCTGCACTGCCATGCAGACACGTGGCAGGACACTGAGGTTAAACACGTCAGTTTGTTACAGTACAGTCGACCAGTCCCGAGCAGTTCCCAAAACTCAAGGGACCCCTGTCAGGGGTGCAAGGGGGCAGCAGAAGAGGGATGGACAGGCAAAAACAGAGCAGCAGTATTATTAATTTTTTTGTTTGTTTTTCCCAAATGAGCATGGCAAAGCAACAAAACCTCCTCTGAAACACACCTTCTACCTCCACTCCTGACCCCTCGCCAGAGCTCTGTACCTGTTGCAGCCACCTGCACCCCAAAGATGGGCTGACCTCAGCAAGAAGCCCCAAGCTGTGGCAGCCTGGGGGAACTCCTGAGAAGAGGGGAGCACTTCCCCCTCCCGACTCAGCCTCCCTCAGACCTTTCCAAAAGCAGCTGGGCACCAGCACCACGCAGCTCTCGTGAGCTGCGGGACAGATCAGCACTCACAGGAGCACATGTGCAACCACTCGGACCTCTAAAATCAAAAAAAGCACAGAACACGGGGAGGTGAAGGATCCAAGCTAAAAGCAAGGCCAAACTCCGTCCTCTACAGGAGGGCAAGAACTTCCTCAAATACAACGCCCCTCTGGACAGCTGTCCCTTCGTCCAGGTGGGACACAAGTCATGTGCGGTGCCTCCTGCAGCCACGCACAGACCTGGGCAGCCCTGGCCTGGCCACGGCCACACAGCACAGGGGTGCAGGACACTGCTCCAAGGAGCTCCCTTGCCCTCTGCCAGCACCCACCCCTACACAGAGCAGGAGTGAATGGCTCTGTGTTCCCTCCATCTGGAGGAAGGCAGGTGGGAGCAAGAAACAGCTGCCTCAAGTTGTCATGTCCATCTGTTCTTTGCTCTGCCCTGCCCGCTGCTCTCCGACGGACAGTAAAACAAGGCACACAGTCCACAAACCTGGAGGGTGGTGGGACCACTGGGATTGCTCTTCTGACCCACCTTCCCCTGGGAAACAGGTGCACACACTAAGGTGACAAACCACTGACTTGGCAGAGGGGGAAGGGAAAACTCTGAGACTAGAGTCTCAGACTCAGAAGTGAAAATATTATTTAAAATCAACTTAGATTTTGGGAAATTCTTGGGGAAACGTTCTACCTCTTCTACTACCCAAGCAATTCCACAGTCTGCTCCACAAGCAACAACTCCACAGCAGAAGCTCATTCCTCCTCATTTCCTATTATGTTTGTTGCTAAAACGCAGACAATTGGCTTCTAAAGAGAACACGCACCCACAAGAGGAGCACAGGACGTGGCAACGGGGCCACCCGCGCACATCCAGACCCGCTTCCACTTGCAAACAACCAGCAACACATCTCCAATGTCCTTGATCCAGCCTCCTCCTTCCCAAATCAGGGACAAACCCGGCTACATCCGTAACCTCAAGAGATCTGACTCTGGCTCACAAGAGGGGAAATCCAGATATAACAGTCACGGCCACAGCACTGTACAAGTGTTAACTTTTTGCCCATATTGCCCAGTTCCCACCCCACAACCCCAGAGCACTGCTGCCGTAGTGGAGCATCCATGGCCTCAGGCAGGCTGGCCTGCTGGAATCTGGCCTGTGAGTGGTACCAGCTGCAGGGTGACACAGCAGGGGTGGATGGAGCAGGGCAGGATCAGACCACCAGGAAACAGCAAAGTAGCAGCTCCCCAGCCTCTCAAACCCAGCCGTGCTCTCAATTCTAGCAGCAGTTCACGAAGCCACTTCACTCCAGCCCAGCTCCCCCCACCAAAGCAGCATCCTTGAGGCAGTGTCAGTTTGGGAAGTGATGACCTCAGCCAGGGCCCAGTGAGCACCCACAGCCACTGCTCATGACAGCCTGACCATGCTCCCCCTCCTGCTCCTTCTCCTCAGCTCCTGGCTGCTCTCACCCACCTGCCCTGTGGCTGCATAAGGACAGCCCTGGAGAGATGACTCCTCCCAGCTCTGAGATGCAGCTCTGGATCAACTGGATCCTTTGGGAAAACGCTGTTTGGTACCAGCTTGTGATGGTGCAGAGAGGGTCACACAATGAGCTGCACCTCTGGAGCCACCTATTGCATACCTGCTCCACTCCACATCACAAAGGAGCACATTCTGCAGCTCAGGCGATGGAGCACCAGAGCCACAGCCAAGCCATCTGCACGGCAGGTATTCCAGGGACTGAGGAGATGGAGCACGGTGGCAGCAAGGCAGGTGGGTCTGGCTGGAAAGAAACAATTTTCTGGTGCTACCTCTGGAGCAACTCCAGAGGTAGCACTGGAAATCTCAGATCTCACTCCTCTGACACATGCCCCGTGCAAAGCTCACAGGCTGGGGAGGGTTTGCCTGCCAAAGCCCACCCGGTGTGGGGTAGCAGGATCAATCAAGTAAATGCCACAGCAGCTCTGCAGCCACGCCCTGCCTCAGCCCAGCAAGGAGCTGCATTGCACGGTGTCATCTGAGCCCTGGGAGGTGCACAGGGACTGTGTTGAGTGGGAGGCTCCATGCAGCCACCTGCCAAACCACAACACACAAAGTGAGAAGTGAGAGCTCTCCTGTGCTGGGCAGGTCTCCTGCTCGCCCCTGCACAGGTTGCACCAGCAGTCCCGAGCCAGCGACTGCTGTGGGACAGGTTTCCTAGGGCTGCATCACTCCCTGTCAGGCTACAGCATCAAGTGGCACCAGGAACACGCCAGCTCTCTGACTTGCTCACAGAAAGGACCTCCAGCTGCTGTGACAATCTCCGTGCTCACCCCCCAACCACACTGGAAGCACAGACTGGAGCAGATCAACCTCCTGCCTGGAGAGGGCCGGGGGGTCTGAGCAAGGCCATGAGCACGTTCAGTTGCTGTCATGGGGAGGAGGCTGCCATGGTACAAACACAGCGGAGCAGCTTCAGCTACAGCGTGAGCACAAGTCTTGGATTTGACTGCCCTCGGCACCTTCCCCAGGAGACTCAGGCCTGGCAGGGAGGCTCCATGACAGGAGAGGCATCCGAGCGAGCTGCGGGGTCAGAGGAAAGGCCGCAGGGAAGATCAGCTCGGCAGCAATGCCGTGAGGAGTCTCTGGGCCTGGGGGGGCCAAGAGCCCAGTGCACCCCAGGATGCAGGAAACCAACAAGCCTCCCCCGTCCAGCTCCACCATAAGGCAACTTTTTTTTGTGTGTTTTTGGGGATTTTTTGTTTGTTTTTTTTTGTTTGTTTTTTTTTCTTCAATAATATTTCCAAGGAAGAAAGCAAAGGGAGATGTGTCTTTTTAAAGAGTTTTTTTGTCGTCGTTTTTTTTTTAGAGGGGTTTGTGGGTTTTTTTTATGTCATGTCATTTTTTCCAAGGGAAAAGGAAAAGCTCCTTCGGCAAAGTCCTGTCTTTGCATGCGATGGGCATTCCTGGGGCAGCGGATGCACCGTCCACGCAGGCTCGAGTCCAGGTGCCTGCCAGCCTCCCAACCAGCCATCCTCACAGGAAGGAGTCAGAACAAGCCTATCCTTGGCAAAGGTCCTTTGGTTGACTTCCAAATTGTCCGTGACAGAAGGGAGAGGTGGGCAGAGGGAAGAGCCAGACCCTCGGGAAGGTGAAGACGTTGGGAAGGGAGCAGGAGGACGAACAGGGCGATGCTCCTGTCGCGGAGGTCGGTGTCGGGAGAGGCACCGCCGTACGTGGAATGGGAGACGCCAGCCGGGTCATGGAGATCAGAGGCTCCGCAGCATCGTGACACGCTGTGGCTTCGGTCCCCCACTGGGGAACCTCGCTCCTCCGAGCTTCCTGAGCGGCTGCCCCGCGAGATCCGAGGGGGGACACAGAGGGGAGTCGTTGGGGCCACACAGAGCAGACTTGTTTTGGTAAATCCAGACGAACTTCTAGCAATAATTTAAAACTTGATATATATATATAATAATAAAAAAAATCTCCCCTTTCCAACCCAACCAGAACACATTTTTTTTTTTGAAGAGACGCTAAGACATGAGTGTGTGCACAGGAGGGGAGGGAAGGGAAAGGAAAGGGTGGGTCTGCTGGGAGCGGGTCTGGCTCTGGTCAGGGTTGTAATAGCAAAATGGTGTTTTAGATGTAGATAGTCTTTGCTTTCCAGCCACAAGAGAAGAAGATCATGTGCGTTGAAGTTTCTCCCAAGCAGCCTATTCCTGGGCACCCACCTTCCAGCTCCCTTCCTGTCCCACCCCCTCATGTCTTCCCTTCTCCAAGCCAGTCCCCCACCAACCCACCCCATCCCCCGGCAGGAAGCAGACGCTGCAGCCTCTCTACTTCCCCACTGTCTGCGACTCTGCAGCCGATGGGGCAGGGGATTGCTGGCTCAGGTTTTTGGCATCCTCTTGTGCAGGCTGGCTGGGTGAGGCGTGGGCTTGGCTGGATGGGCACTGGCTGACCGTTTTGCTGGAAGACTGGGATGGGTAGCGCTTCCTGCCATCTCCCCCTGACGTTGAAGGGTATCTCTTGTGTCCACCTTCCTCCCCCATGGGTGGCTGGAAGAGAAGCACCCCAGTATCAGCACAGCCTCCTCCAAATGCAGGTACCCTCCCGCAGGATCAGGGAAGAGCCTTCCTGCAAGCCTCCAATTGCAACTTCTCTCCCTGACCCACAAGGAACATACATATCCCAAGCACTCAGCTGCCCTCCTCTCCAAACCTCCCACTGACAGATCTGCTGACAGAAAGACTGACTGACTTCCAATCAAGCACAATGGTGATAACTTGTTCTTAGGCACCTGCTTCCCACACAGGGGCATAGTCCAGAAGTTTGGGAGCAGAAGCTCCACACAGTGTTGGCTCTACTAAAACCATCAAGGCTCCCTTTCCTTCTCCATCCTCAGTTCATCAGGGAGGACGGGCTCATCCAGCTCCTTCATCCTGCTCTGAGTGGATTTACAATATTCCAACCCTGCAGATTGTTCCCGGCCCGGCTACAATAACAGGGAGCAGTAGATGTCACTGTTCCCACTCCCCAACCTGCCACCACCTGGGGACCCCCCAAAATCCTCCATCCTTGGAGGGGCCAAGGGCTGTCTGCAGGTACATCAGTGTGGTGCAGGCGCTGTGTCTACTCACATCTACTCTGAAGTCCTCGAGGCGCTTGAACTTGCTGAGGTATTCTTGCAGTTTGCTGTTAATGTCCAGATTTTTGGCTTTGGAATATTTTAAGAAGGCCCAGAACTTTTCCAGCCCATAGAGCTGCCCTGGAGAGAAAGAAAACCAATCCAGATGTCAGCAGGACAAAAACCAAACCAGATGTCAGACACCTTTCCTCCAAGGCTTCCCCACAAACCCTCCTGTCCTGCTGATGGGCACAACCTAGGCCAGATGGAAAACCTCAAAGGAAGCAACCTACAATAGTCCTGGGAAGCTCCCCTGACTTGAGATGTCTCCAAGCTCAGCTGATCTGGTGGTGACAAGGTCCTGCCACTGGAGGGCCTTGAGAAATCTTATGTGAACTGGTGTGTCTAAAGGAATGCCTTGGGAGAGCTACAGCCCCCCACTGCCCTCCTCCATACCCCAGGACTCTTCAGGACAGTGAGCATCCACTGACCCTCCCACAAAGTGAGCAACAGGACGTCTACCCGGTCCCCGTGGCACATGTTAACATACAGCACTATGTGGCTTCCCCAAAATGATGAGAAGAGGCCCAGGGGCAGCCCTGCAGCTGGGCTACATCACTGCCAATCCCAAAGGAGGCACCTACCAGCTTCATAATCCTTGATGGTCTCTTCTTGGAAGTCCTTAAATATGTCTGGCCGGAATTTCTTCTCCAGCCCGTAGCTGTAGTATCTGAAAAGGCACTCCAGACCATACCTGGGAACAGAGCAGCATGGGGGGCTCACACACAGGTGCACACAACACAGGGCACAGAGGCTCTTGAGGCGAGAGCCCTGCTGAGCACCAGCAGCAGGTGACTTGAGGGTGACCTCAGACCCACCTTCGAGCAAGGCAGAGCTGCTGCCTTTTGCTGTGAGCCCTGTAAAAGGCCAACCCTTCTTCCCTCACTCCCCTTCCAGGAGAGGCCACTCTGCTCCTCCCCTCCTACCTGTATCCCTCCTTTCCATCCTCCACAGCCAGTTGCTTGAACTCCTCATACATTTTCTTGTTGAAGTGATCTCGGAGGAAGAAGGACCAGAACCGGAAAAGCGTGTTCATCTCCTGGGACTGACCAATGCCCAGTCGTTTCCGCTCTGTTTTGGGAAGAGGGGATAATTACAAGGCAGATCCTCTCCCAGGGAGTCAAGGGCTTGTGCACAGGAGGGCCACATGGCAATGTGACAACACCCAGCCCCAGTGCTGGACACTGCAGCCCATGCTCTCCACAAACCATGGGGACACATCAGCTGTCAGCAGGGCTGTCCCACAGGACCCTGCCCATGCCTGTGTCCATGCTCTGTGGCAGTTCCTGCGCCCAACACAGCAGAGCAGGGACACCCTGTCCCCTCAGCGTCCCTACCGTTAAGGCAGCGCCGACGGTACTTGTGGTAGACGTGTTGTGTGAAGCCGTTCTCCTTGAGCAGCTCGTGCGAAGGGTGCTGGAACTTGGGCAGGGACTGTGGGGTGCAGCCGTAGCTCCCGACAGCTGGAGTCCCCTCCGAGGGGCTGGAGCTGAGCATGAGAGACTCCTGTCAACACCCTTCCTTGGCACCACCCACCCAACAGCGGAGTGGGGCCACGCTCCACCCCATAGCACCTGTCTGCTGGTCCCACTCCCTGTGACTGTCTACCCTGGGCTTGGGATCTGAGCCATGGAATAGCCTACTAGGAAGGGAATCAATGTTTCTAACAAAGTTTCATCTCGCTGTTCTCCATGGCTTCAGATTTTCCCCAAGCCCTTCCAGGAGGGGCAAGTTTGGTCCTAGTTCTTTCTGCAGTCACCTAAGAGGAGACTTCCCCTACAAGAGCAGATGCTGCCTTCCCCCTTCCTTTCCACACTCGCTCCCTTTCCCATTTCTGGCTGCTCCATGATCTCGTACACACGTCCCTGGTACCTGATAGAGGCGGTTCGTGGCCTGTGCTCCCGAGAGTCCATCACCCAGCCCACGTGGCACTCCATCGGAGGGTTCGAACTGTGCCTCGTCTTCCTTTTCCGTGGAGTCTGCAAGACACAATATATCAGGGATGTGTTCCCTTCCTCCCTAGGCCCCAGCTGGGAAACCCCAGCTCCCATCATGCAGCCCAGCCCTGGCTCCCACCTTGGCATCTATCGTCCTGCCCTCTTTCACCACGGGGTAGAACCGGGGCGTCTGTGTCGGGTCCTTCAGCTGCGGCGTGCGGGGGGTGCGGGGGGTCCTGGCGTTGCGGTAGTTGGGTGACTCTGGTACAGTCGTGGGCAAAGACCGGGCGATGGTGGAAGGCTCAGGGACTCCAAACAGCTTGTTGGCCAAAGCGTCTGTAGGTACTGCAGGGAGAAACCCCCCCCAGCCAGGTCAGGCTGAGCTCTGAGCATGAGTGTCTCTGCCATCTGGCAGATGGGAAGTAGGGAGGGGAGGAATGCAGGGACACATCCCAGCCCTCCCACAAGACCAGCATCAAATCCAGCATGACATCAGCTTGGTCAGAAAACCCAAAGCCTAGCAGCAGATCCAAGGATGGAGCTTCCAGGGATCCCACAAGGTATTTGCTTTCTAGTGGCAAACTACAGCAACAAACCCCCCATTCCCAAGAGAAGGACATGACACTGGGGGCACACACAGGCAAACAAGGTCCAGCAGGCAGCTGCCTTCCAGGTACTCAGAGAGGGTCCAAGAGGAAAGTCACATCCAGGTAATTACGTCCAAATTTGCCAAGGTCACCTCACTCCACTGGGACACCCCTTCTTTTGCACCTCCTCTGACGGAGCCCCAAAACATTCAGTTGGAAGAACATAATTACTCTGGGAAAGATAATCCCACGTGCCTGTGGTCCCAATTCCTTCTCCCTATCTGCTACCCAACCTTCAAGAACCTCTCAGCATAAGGAACAGGGACAAATTCAGTCCAACCCATTCATGCCCCATCTCTTACCTTGCTGGAACCTGGGGGGACCTGGAGGGACTTCTTGGTTTGGATCCACGGGGGGCTCTGGGGTCAGGGTGTCAAACTGCTCCCTGCTGATCATATTCACCTTCTTGAAGTTCTCCACCTCTTGCTATGTTGTAAGAGGAAGATGGTGAAGAAATTGCCCTCTTCTGCCCTCACCCCATCACAACCATGTGCAACAGCCACGGCACTTGGCCCTGAGTGCAGTCACAGGGCCTGGTGCCCAGAGGGAGACCTGCTGCACAGAGGTAGGAAGGGGAGGTGTGGCAGACAGAAAACTGGGCACTGCACAGTCCAGTTATGAACTATGAACCACTTGCTGCTCCTAAGCTTCCAGGGATCCTTCAAGGCAGCTCCACTAATTAGCACTTGCTTCTCTCAGGCTTTTACCCACCCAGGCCAGTGCTGGTGCAGTAAAAGCTCAAGGTGAGCTCAGTGACCTGTTCTCAGCCAGGCCCCTCTGCCACTGCCACAGTGTTGTGGCCCTAGAGTTCCCTCCCCACACCCCCACAGCCACGCCAGCAGTGGGGCACAACACTCCCATGTATCTGAAGGACCCACACCCACAGCACACACTGTCCCTGTCACCTGCTCCCCCCACAGCTTCTGTCACCCCAGACAGCAGCATTCCTTCAGCCAGGGGGCCATGAACCAGACATGGAAGCACTGAGCCCAGCTGTAGCTCCAACAAGTCACACCACTTTCAGCCATAATTTCTGTCACTGAGCAAGTCTAGGCAAGTCCCCAACCGTGAGAGTCACCAAGCTGGGACTCAAATGTTTCAAAGCAGCAGATGAGCTTTCTATAAAAAGCCCATGTCTGTGCAAACTGATACCAAAACGGAGAAGAGCAGAGGCCAAGTGCAGCCCAGCCATCTATGAACCTGTTCCCAATACGTGTGGTCTCCAACAGACTGTGCCACGAAGCACAGGGTGCTCTGGACAGTGCAAACACCTGTTTCCCCTCACAGATCTGGCACTGCCAGCCAAGACCCTGGCAGACAGCAGAGCAATGGGCCCCACGTTCCAGGTCACCTCACTACTGGCACTTTGTTTACCTGGCTGCAGCCTTACATCTTGTTACAGAGCTGTGTTTATCCCTGACATGGCAGGGCATGATGCTGGGAACCAGGAAGTCCAAACATTGCAAGAGGACTAATCCCAGCTTAGCTCTACCCCATGAGTGGGCTGTAACCTGCTGTACTGCCCTTCTCACCCCACACTAACCATCAGCCACCCTGCCACACATGAGGCTCCCCACAGCCCACACACACTCCCTTCCTTGGATCAGCCGCTCTCACCTTGATCTGTGAATACTCTGGCTCAAACTGCTCTGTCCACAGGTCCTGCTCGTAGTAGTAGAGCCCATCATTGATCACCTTGGCCAGCTCCGAGCTCATTTTAGCCCTGGAGGTGTGGTTGCCAGTCCGGTCCCCACCAGGATGCCGGCGTAGGTAAGGAGGTGTCTGCGTCACGATGAGGATCTTGTTCACGTCGCGGTCGTCGATCTCGTAATCGGAATCTTCATCTGACCAGTCGGTGAAGGTGTTCTTGCGGCCATCCATCTGCTCCATCTCCTCGTCGAAGAGGAAGTCGAGCTCCTCAGGCTCATCTTGGTCCTTTTGCTTTTGCTGCTGGGGTGTCTTTGACTCCTCTGGTTTCTACAGATAGGGGGACAAGGGTGACACAAGTGTAAAGACCACACAGCGAAACAAGTGACAAGAGATCCAGCTATTGCCCCTTGTTTCTTCACCCCAGCCAGAACACCTTATTCACACCACTGAGGAGGAGCTCCAAAGGGGCTCAAGTACCCTATTTGATTTGAAGCCTGCCAACTTATGATTCAAGTCACCTCAACAACTGGGAAACCCCCCACTCCAAGAGCTCCTACATCACCACCTACCTTGGGCCTGGCTGGGGAAGGCCGAGGCCTCTTCTTCACTTCAATCCATGTCTCTGAATCCAGGTCTGGTAGACTTGTGGACAGGCCCTTGGGCATTGTCTTCAGGTTACTGACCTCCTCTGTTTTGGTGGGGACAGGGCTGGCAGGACGTGGGGAGCCAGGAGCAGACTCTAGAGCCAAAAAGAGCCACAAGGTGCTTTAGAGGGAGGGAGGGAGCCTGGGGGGTTGTGTACTTACAAATTATCTGACCAAAGGAGGAGTCATTCCGGCAGCACAGCACAGCTTGCAGGACTAGCTGGCATCCTGTGGCCAAGGCTACCAGCACAGTGCCCACAGGTGCTGGAGTGGGAATCTCCAGTTAATGCCAGTGGTGGCCACAAAGCTTTGCAGGTGACAGCTTCCCAGACACACAAAGCCCTAAGGCAGATGCTGTGCTGCTCTCTGGGAAACCTTCCCAAGACAGTCTGGAGCCAGTGGGAATAGATCTTCTCCTGCCAAAACTCTTACAACAGGACCAAGAAGATTCTCCAGTTGGGCTCTCAGGTGCAGGTTTGGGCTCCTGCCAGCCCCCATGGGGTTAGGTGACAAGAGCAGGAGCAGCTCATGAAGGACAGCAGACCCTTCCCCAGCACTTGGTTGACAGCTCCACACCTGTTGCCCAATTTGTGCCCAGTATCTCCTCACCCGGTAAGGAAAAGTTGGATTCCCAAGTGTCCTCTGCTCTGCCCAGCAACCATAAGACTATTTCCAGGCACAGCCAAGAGACTTCCAGCAGGAGTGACCCTCCCTGAATGACTTCAGCCCCCACAGAGGAAAAGCCACAAGACTCAGTCTCTCATGTTTCCCCCCACGTATGGAGGCAGCAGCTCTGGAGGTCCAAGGACAGAGCTCAGATCAGCTCCCACCACCAGGCAGAAAGCCAGTGTCAGAGCCCTGCCCTGGGGAACACTCCTGACTATCAGGGTCTCAGTCCTGCTGCAGTCCTAGCACTGCATCCCACACCTCACTCCACATTCCCCCAGAGCTCACCTGTCTCTTTTTGGAAGCTTTGCCGGGGGACAAACTCAGGGCAATTGATGAATTGTGAGAAGTCAGTCTGAGTGTAGTCTGCCATAGGAGGGCCAGGCAGAGCCCATTTTTCTGGCTGCTCTTTTCTCCTGATCTTCTCATCCACAATTTCCACCACCTTGCTGTCCTTCAGAGCCTGGAACCAAGGGATACTTGGTTAACTTAGCACTTAGCCTTGGCACGTTGAGGGGCTAACTCGTCCATAGAAAACAGGCACCACACAAAGGGTGGTGAGATGCAGGACAAGAAGGAAAGGCCACCTTTCCTTGCCCTCACCTTGATGATGAGGCTGATGTCAGTGGTCAGTGCCTGCACTCGGTGGAAGCTGGCGATCAGGGTGATGGGGAGGAAGCCGTCCGAGTCCATCTTGCGGCGCAGGAAGAAGTCCCGCTCCAGGTTGTCCACGCTGAAGTAATATTCTCTGTATGGACAACATGTCAGTGAGAGGAAGCTCCAAGTCACTGTCCCCTGGGCAACGCCTAAGGAATTATACCCCCCTCCCAATTAAGCTACTGAAGGGAGAAGTCTCGGGAGCCCACATGTGGGGCAAGGTGGTGCTGTAAGTGAAGCAGAGTGTCAACACACCTCAGTTCTAACCATTCCCATGGGATTGGCTGTGCAGTCCCCCCCACCACCCACTGCTCAGACAAGGACAAGAGGTGGTGCTCACATCTGCCTCTTGATGTAGTCTTTGAGCAGCTCCTGGTCCACGCTGTAGAGCTCAGCACTGCTGATGTTGTCGAAGTAGTAGGTGATGTTGCTGGCGTACTTCTGGGTGCGGGAGCCATCCGAGCCCTCGAATTTCCGGTACCCATACTGGTAGTCAAAGTGCCCTGTGGGACACCAGTAAGGGTCAGCACAGAGACACTGGGATGTGCCAGACAGGCTGTGCTGCCAGATGGGGCCGGACTCCTGTACAATAGTTCCCCCTGCACTGTTCCTGAGGACCCCACTGCAGCCCATAATGGGGCACCCACATCCTTCATCCACATGCTCTCTGCCTTTGCCACAGGAGAGGCCAGAAGCCCTCTTATCCAGGAGCAATTGGGCAGCCCAGCTGACACACAAAGGCCCTATACTGAAGCCAGGTGAGGGTTAGCACAGACACTGCCCAGTCCAATGCCAGGGCAGACGCTCTCCCTTATCCAAGACACACCTCCTGCTTGGCTCTCAACATGACATAAAGCCTACACGGAGTATCAACATGTTTCAACTCCTGCTCACAGAAATACTGCAAGGCAGAGAAAACAGGAAGAACAGCTTGGCCTGAGTAGTGGGAAGACATTTGCTTCTATTAAAATACTAGTAAGAATTTTTTGTTTTGTTAAAAGCAGTTCAACTTATCAGCTGGGATGACCTGCCACAATATTTCCTTGTATCCCTACAGTGCTCTGCCCTTCCCAGCCCACTTCCGGAGGCCCAAATCTCTCACACGCAGAGGCGCAGAGCTGTGCACACTTTGTCACATGCCCAGTTCTCTCCTTGCTGTCACAAGACCACACATACAGTGATCACCTCCTCTGCCACGGCCACGGCCCCTGCCACGGCCACGGCCTCGGCCCCGGAAGGTCCCTCGCACAGCCCCTCCCTCGCTCTTCACGCTGGAGGTCTCGTCGTGGTCCTGCCAGCTGCGCTCGTGCTTGTTGTCTGGGTGCCAGCCTGCAGCAGACAGGGAAGGAGAGGCAGGAGGAGTGTTACAGAATGAAAGCACCTCCCTGGAGCAAGCCCGCTGCACCCAGAGCCCTCTGAAGGCAGGAAATGTGCCCACTGGGCATGAGGGCTTGCTGTGCCCCACGGCCAGGGCAGGGAGCAGGTCCCCAGCCTGAGCCCCCACCTTTCAGCTCGCTGCGGTTGTTGGAGGGGTGCCTGTGCTGCTCGTTTTGCCGGTTGTTCCGAGAGGCGGTTTTGTCCCTAGGCACCTCTGACTTCATGTCTATCTGCAAAGGGACCCACTTGTGTTTGTTGCCTGCAAAAGGACAGGGTTTGGGTGTGACATAGGTTCAGAGAGCATCTGCTTCCTCCCCCGCAGCCCTCTCTTGCCACACAACCCCCACACATGGAGGAGAGAAAGCAGCAGGGCCTTTTGGACAGACCCTGTCCTTGGACATCCCTCCAGGCCTTGCTGGATGCAGAAAGGCACTGACCAGGACTCTCAGGCATGAAGGGACAGACCTTTCCTGTTGCACTTGCCACAGCACTTGTCCTTCCTCTGCCCCTGCTCAGACCAGACCAAGCCCATGTGTCAACCACAGCTGACACAACCCACAGTCAGGGGCTGTTCTGTGCCACCACAGAGCGCAGGGAGGGCAGGCTCCTGTCACACCCCTACTTGGGCCCTGGCTCCCACCAATATGACACTTTGCTCCTCTGAAGTCTGCCAACACCTTTCACTACAGCTGTCCCCACACTGGGATTCTTTCCTGCAGCATGGCCCCCAGGGAAGGCAGTGGATGCTTCCATCTGGGTTGTGGATGGGGAGCCAGGCTGAGGCCAGGGGACTGCCCTCATCAGGTTCTGCCTTACCTTTCTTCTTCTGCGCTGACTTCTGGTTGTCATCATCACCGTTCTTTTCCTCCCCCGACTCATCTGATTTGGTTTTCAGGCTCTCTTTGCCATCACTCCCATCCCCCTTCTCCTGCTCTTTCATGTCTTTCTTGACAGGCAGTTTCCGAAGGGTTGGTGCTTTGTGCGGCTGCTGGAGACACACCAGTGCAGGAAAGATGTGAGAGGTGGGAAAAAGGAAGGGCTGAAGGTAGAACCCAACTGTCCCATCAGGAAGACCTTGTCCTAGGCTGGAAGCATCCCTGCTCTGCACCTCCCAGAGCTGTCCTGCTCCTCTGGGGAGCTTATGGATGAGCAGGGCAAGGGCCTGGGAGATGCTGCAAAGTGCTCCAGATGTGCTGAGATACCAAGATGGACTGCCAGGGAGGCCTGGAGCTCCTGGATGGAGTGTCCTATAAGGGACCAGACTGGCAAAACAGTGAGTGACAGACAACCAGGGGCTGGCAGAGCAGCATCCAAAAATAGAAAGGTTTCAATGACACCCAGGTCCCTTAGCAGGAGAGGAAGGGCCAAGCCCCTCAGACACACCAGTCCTTTTCTCACACATTTTCAGTTCCTCCTATGGAAGTCCTACTTTGGCCCAGGCCCCTTCCTGCACTAAGTAGCCCTGAGGAGAGTGGGTCTGAGAGCTGCCTTACCTGTTTCACCCAGCCCAGGGCTTAGACTGGGCTCCAGGTTCCCAGAATAGCACTGAGGGAGGGAGTCGGCTGCATGGGTGGCCCTAAAAGGAAATCCCCTGCACACTATTCCTGGCTGCCTCCACACTGACACTCAGCACCCCAAATGGCCTGGCTCAGCCAGTGCTTCCAGAGGGACAGAGAGGTCTGCAAGGGCCTTATCCTGCTCATTGCAATGGTTCTGTGTTCTCACCTGGACACTCTTGTGGGCTATTTCTCCAGGTGTTGGCCAATTTGTGGCATCACCGAAGTCACCAACCTGGAGTCCAAAGAGAAAGGTCCCATTAGTGCTGTTCTCTGCATTAGGGAAGCCAGAAGCACTTCCATGCACCACCGTCCCACAAACAGCTGTCCCTGGGAGGCCTGAGGGTGACAGACAAACTGCACACACACAGCCCCTCTCCCTCCAAGGCAGGGTCCCTGAATTAATCCCAAAAAACTATGTCTATCAGCGATTGTAACAAGGTTGTCACCAGTCCTGCAAGCCTCATTTTGCCTCAGCAGCAGCATTTGGTAGGCAAGCAGCCCAGGTTAACTCACCATAAGCACCATCCCTTGGACAGGGAAAGCACTCAGCTTCCAGCACTCTAAATCCACCTGAAGCAACCACATCCCATTAAAGAACCTCCTCCACCTAGTGGCAGGTCACAGCCAAGCACAGCTCCACTTAAGTGCCCAACTACACCCACATGCCAACAACAAAGCAAACAGATTGTCTAGCAGGACTGGTGAGAAAATTCAAGCAGGTGATGGGATCTCCCTCATTCCAGTCACCCCATGCCCATATGGGGAACACTGGTCACTTCTCTGCTCAATAAATGACCTCACCATTGCCATCATTTCTACCTTTCACATTTCAGAGAGAACCAGTGGACAGAGGAAAGAACCTAAAGAGCTGCCCAGGTACCAATGAATCGTGGCTGGGCACTGAGTTTATCTGGGCACAGAAACTCCTCACTGCCCCTGTGGGGTTTTTATGGAGTCACTGAGTTCCTCAGGACATCACATCTTTACATTCAGGTGCCATGCTCCTCTCCTCAGGAGGCTGGTTTCCTGAGAAAACCAATTCCAGTGCAGGGCCATGCCTGTTTCACAGACAGGAGCACCTTCCATCCCCAGGGCCCTCCTCTCTCCAAAATGGAAAAGATAAGGAAAGTCCTATCACGCTGCAGATCCGTCTTCACTGGTTGCTGGGAGCCAACACCAACAACCCATGTCCCTTGCTGTGCCCCAGCTGCATGTAACATCTTCAGCAGTAACTGTCCCTCCATCACACACTGATCTCCTGGAACAGACTGGCCAGGTTCCTCCAAAGGAGTTGCTTTGTTTGAAATCGATTACCCTGGCTCTCCATGTGCCAGTGAGGAACAGATAGCACAGGGAAGAAGGGACCTGTGGACACACCACTATTGCTGCCCTGCCTGCACTGCAAAACAGGGCACAGGCTGAGCCCACAAGGAACTTGGGGTGTCCTTGCAGTGGGGGACAGGTTTTCTACATCCAGGACTGCTCCAAGCACCTCCCTGTGAGAGAGGAGGTAAGAAGGTTTTCCCTTGCCTGACTGGGCAGAAAACCAGACAAGGTATCATGCAAGACCACTAAAATGCTGAAGAGATGGAGAATCACAATGTTTTCCTCCACACCCTTGCAAGCAGCCATGCCAGCAGGTCAGCCCCTCCACAACCAGGCTTGCCAAGGGAGGGGTCTGCTCTCCAGGCCCCCAAGACACTCATGCAGCACTGACAACTGCACCAGAAGCTGGAGGCCAGAGAGAGGGACAGCAGGTACAGCCTTACCTTGCTTCCTTTCCGCTGTCTTGGGTTGGCAGCCCTCACCACTTTTGCTGGAGTCGTAAGTTCTGCAAGAGGAGGAGGAGAACAAAACTGTTAAAAACATAGCTGAGGGCTGTGGGCATGTTGGCTCTGGAGGGAAGCAGGCAGGAAGCAAACCAGCTCCCCCTTCAGCAAAGGAGGGCTAAGAGGAAAAGGTGAAGAGGAAACAGAGCCAGTTCCCAACCTGTGTCTCCTAAGGGCCTTATCACAACATCAGAAAATCAATCCAGGTGGCCAAGAGATGGACTTTTAACCCCATCCTGCTGCAGGAAGGCACTCCCTGACTTAGTTCTGCCTTCCCGACTCAGCCTTGCCAGCCAGGGAGGAGGGGTTTTGAGGAGCTCAGCTTGCTCTGCAAAGCACCAGGGAGAACCTGATCTGCTTTGAACAGCAAAGCAAACGCCCTTGAACAGCCAAGGCCCATCATGACGCCATGGCCAGCCCTCCCCAGGGTGCAGAGGAGGGCTCGGCGCAGGGATGCACACACGGGCACTGCTGTCTCCTGGTTTGAACTCCAGCATCCCAGCAGGGGACAGCATGTTCATAACAGGGAATATACAGAGAGAAGTAACCAGATCCATGAAGTGCCCAAATCCTGCTACAGCCAAAAGTATTTAGGCACCAGAGTGCCTCTGGGGTGTTTTAATGTATCAGAGTGCAACTATTGGGGTTCACACCACCACAGACCTCACAGGAAGTAAAGACTTCAACCCCATCATGACCCATCTTGGCTCCTGCTCACACATCACCTCCTTACAGGCAGAAATAGAAATTCGATTTGTTTTCCCCCTCACAGGTTTGGCTGCAAGGTCTCCGGATCAGGCTCACGCAGGGCACACAGTCCAACAGAGCAGCACGTCACTGCCCCACACAAACCAGCCCCACAAGGACCAGGTACGAGGGTCTCCTCCAGGACAGGTACGAGGGTCTCCTCCCCTCTCCACAGGGAGAGGAGGGCCCACTGTCCCCTGCCTCGAGGGGCAGCCCGTGCCAGGTGCCACACAGCCGGCAGGAGTGAGCTTTTCCGTGAGCTTTTCCGCTGACTCACTGGCTTTGTTTAAAAGCAAGGCAGCCCTGACTGGGGGTAGGGTGAGGGTGGGTGGAATGCAGAGGCTATCTGGGGATGCCCCAGGAAACACCCTAAGTAGCCTACTCAGCTCTGCTCAAAGCTGCCTTTGATCTCCTGTGCAAGGCTGGACAACTTTGCCTAGATGATCAAAACCGGTCCCCTTCCGAGCCTTGAAACCAGTGATTCATCCTGCTGGCCCGGCCTTGCTCAGAGCTGGAGGCTTTGAAGTGTCAATAAGGCAGAGTCAGACATGGCAGGACAGAGCCATGTTCAATGTTCACTCCCCTTCCCCAGTTCCTCTCTCTAAGGCATCTGCACAGGGATTTCAACTCCAGGGAAGTCCAAGCTCTCCCTGGATCCTCCCCTTTCCTGCAGGACCTCCCCAACCCATCTGCATTGCTTCCCCTCATGAGAAGTAGCAGTCCCACATGTCCCTCATTTATTCCACGTGCACTTCATTGAGAATCCCAGCTCTACTGCACAAAGCTTGCCACAAGGCTTCTGAACTTTCCTGATAGTGGAGGACGAGCAAGTGCTTTCAAAACAGCCCCCAAAATCCTCCCCTCAACGCTCACAGATGTCACCAGCTAAAAACAGCCTCAAAAGGCACCCGGAGCTACAGCACCCTCAGCCAGCCCAGTTTTCCACACATACAGAGCACCCCTGCTTGCTCCAACAGCACTGACATCACTGGCACTGCAGAAAGAAATAACTGAACTTGCTCTGCAGCCTGATCAGCACCAATCTCCTGGGCTAGAGGCAGCAGGGCTCCCTCTCTCCCTGCGAATATCCCATCCCAGCGCCTGCTCCCACCATGCTGCTGCCCCAGGGCTCACAGCAATGGCATCCAGCCTTGTCCTCCAGCTGCTTCAGCTCAGAAGCCTCATGGCCATAGATGTTCCTGTGCTTTTTTTGGGGACCAGTCAAGAATGGTGCCCTCACAACCGAAGTGAAAGAGGACGTAGGGGCACAGGCTGCAGGGGTGTGTGCCACAGTCTCAATCATCTTTGTGGGGGAGGGAGGAGATTGTTTCAAACAAGTTCTGCCACTTTCCTTATCTGCAAGATAGGAACAAGGATCCCTTATCTCGCTGAGGTGCTGAGAAGACTAATTAGCATTTGCAGAGGCTATGGAAGACAAAACACAAAAGGTTGCAGCCAGGCAGGGAGGGAGGTAGGGAAGGAGGCTGCTCCAGGCAGCACAGCCAAGCCAGCGTGGATGATGGAGTCGAGATCCAGCAATTCATGGTGGAGACCAAGGTAGGAGACCAAGAGGGTGTGACAGTGTTGGCAGACAGAAAGCTGGACACACCATCCACCCAGCCAAGACCGTGGTGAGCAGAAGCCATGCATGCCTGGCACCCTCTAGGGCACACCAGCCTAACCCAGGGCACCAGTTCCAACCCATCAGCAATTCTGGAGTCAAGCTCCTGGACATCAAACCCAAAACTGCTCTTAATGTTGCCTTGCAGAGACTCTAGCAAACACAAGTGTTTTAAAAACCAAACCCAACGCACCCAAAACACATTTAGGTTAATCCAGATGCTCAGGCTTCAGAAGTCCTTCCTATAGGGACAGCAACACATCTTGTGGTTCTCAGCTGAGAAGACCCTTTGTACAAAAACTCAACTGTCCTTTGTCACTGCATCAACCTGGGAAGTGGGGAACAAGTGGATGCTGCTCACCCCACACAAGAGTTCAGGACAAGCAGTGAGGGACACTAAATACTGCCCTGGTTCATAGCTGAGCCCTTAAAAGCTGCTGACAGATGTCTCAGACCTCTGGTAATTTTACAACCCTCCTTTTACCTTTATTTGTTGGCAATAAGTAATTTTCAGTTGCACTAGCACTCCCTGACCAGCCCCCAAAAAACAGGGCCTCAGTGTGTGAGAGGACAGAGAAAACAGCTGCAGCAGGAGCCAGGGCTTTAGTGGTGTGAGACTGGCAAGGGGACAGCGGGCAGGGAAGCAAGGAGCAGCTTTGCCTGCGGCCACAGAACAGATGCTGGCACAGCCAGGAACAGAAAAGCAGGTCTCAAGTTTGGATTCACTGCCTGCAGCCAGAGCCTGATTGTTTGCCCAGCCATAGGGTTGCCCAGTCAAGAGATTATTTCTTAGCAATTGAGGGGACAAGGCACAGGTGGGAGCACCCACAGTGGCCCCAACACCAGTATAGCAGCCAAACCCTTCCCATGGGCACGGTGCAGCCAAAGCACTCGCTGGCTTTTGACACTTGCTCCCCAATGCACCCGACAAACACCAAGGGCAAGGCTGTGCAGACACCTTGTGCTTTGCTCCAGCCCACGGATGGCAGTGGCACAGCCCTCAGGGAGGGAGCTCATGGGGGCATCCAGGTGAGTGACACCTGGTACTTGGAAGGAGAAGAGCCATTGCACAAGGCCAGGCAGAGTGATAGCACAGCCCAGCCAGAGTGACAGCAGATCCACAGCTAAATGTCCCTCCATCCCAAGACGGAAAACTGAGCTTGGCCTAGGAGACCTTACCTCTGAAAATCACCAACACCCGCCAGCCTGGTTCCCTGTCTTTTCTTACATCCCAATGCAGTTTGCAATGGAATTTTAGAGAAGGTGGATGAAGAGAGGGAATAAATCTACAGCGATGGGCAGAGACCTGGCATTATACTGCAGAAATACCTGCACCTACAGTAAGAATGGTGTAGTGCCTACTTCAGGTGTACCGCTCATGTGCGACAGAGACAAGGGCTCAGAGAACCCCAGCATCAGCCTGAGAGGGCAGCCCAGGCTCTCAGCAGGAACAGAGAGTCCTCAGCTCCAGCATATGCTCCATCCCTGACACAGCACACCCCTCCTTACCCAGCAGCCAAGACAACAGAAAGGAGCAGGCCTGCTCCCGTGCTGCTCCAGCCCAAGGCCTGGCACCTGAGAAACTGCTGATAAGGGTGGTTTCAAAGCCAAGAGCCCGGACTTTGTGCTGGAGAGGCTGAGGCAGGGGCGCATGCTCTGTACTGCAGGTCCTGACGGGGTTGGAAGAGCCAAACTGGTATCCCCAGTTTCCCCAGAGCCCCAGCAGGAGCTCGAGGGTGCCGTGTGGGATAGACAGCCATGTGCCCAGCAGTCCACCAGGATCCACTCCACTACTCTGTCTCCAAACAGTCCTCCACGGGACAGTCCTGGCACACATGAAGACCACAGGTCATAAACACTACCACAGGACACCCACTCTGGCAATGCTCCCTAGAGGTTTTTAGGTGAGAAAGAGCAAGTGCAGCTTGGGCAAAGATGAGCTGTGCCCAGAGCAATGGGGGGGCTTGGCAGGTTGCAAGTGAGAGGGGGAATAGTGCCCCAGTCAAAATGACACAGTAAGGACAAGGTATTGCATTAACCTCCTGAGAAACCAATTGACACCCAGGTATGACAACTTCTGAGAAGACTAAAGACAAACCATTAGACAGCTTACACTCAAGAGGACCTCTGCTCGCTCACACTATTGGTATATCCATGCTCACTGTTTGAACAGAGAAAACCAGTCTGAGATTAACTGTTTCCCCTGGAGACAGCTTCCTCAGAGCCTTTCCAGGAGGGTGGGCGAGTCCCTCCTGGGGTACCGACACACACCAAAGATGTGGTGGGACAGCACCAACCTGCAAAGCAACTCCCATAAGACAGACCCAGCAGAGGCAGTCACCCACAGCCAAGCCTGTCAGGACACCACTGCGGCTGCAAAAATCCCTTTCTTGGCCTAAAAGGAGACCTAGAGAGCCAACAGATAACAGTTCCAAAGGTGTATCCTCACCTTGCCAACATGGGAAACTCAAGAGTACCAACCTTGTCCCTCCTCCAGGCCTCAAGCAAGCTCTCTCCCAGGATGGCCTTACCTGCACAGCACCAGGGGCAAGACACAGATTCGGAGGCATTCCTGTGGCACTCATTGCTGTCCATGTACTCAGCTCCATGACTTCAGAGTCCGAGCCTGGTCAAGCCATCAGAGGACACAGCTGTTGAGCTTCATGCCCACCAATAGCACAACTTCTCCAGAGACATTTGCAGGATCAGTCCTGCAGGCCAGATGCGACCCACAATACAAAAACAGCCCTTTCCCTCCCACCAGCAGGTCACCTGCTGCAGATGGTGCCAAAGATTTTTCTTGTTGAGACTCCATCATAAAGAGGACCACCTGAAATTACAGGCAGAGAAGCCCTGAGGGACGGACAAACACTGTCTGCCCACTGTGGGTGCTGCAGCCATTTCTGTATCAGCAAGGCAGCGGTGCTGGGCAACGTATCCTTCCTATAAAGGGGCCAGGAAGGACAAGCAGATGGGAGGGGGCCTCAGCCTGCCCAGGGAGTGATCTGGTAGCACTCCTGTGTGCAGAGAGAGGTGCAGATACCCCCGAGACCGATTAGCAGCTTCCACCTCTGCCTGCCTCCCAAGGAGCTGCTCCCAGCACCGCCTCAGCCGTGTGTCAGAGCTAATGCCAGACCGACATGGGTAACGCTTGTCACTGCAGCTCCACACGAGTGGAAAAGCCTGGGATTTATAGCACTGACTGCTTGGCATGCTCACATTTTGCTGAAGGCATCACAAGGCTCACAAAGCCAGCAAGGTTCAGGACAGACTCAGCACACAGACTGCAACTCCTCTAGGTTTGAAACATTTTATGGCTTTATCTCCCACCAAACTGCAGTGGCAGCTGGAGGTGTGTGCATGCACAGAGGGGGAAACCAAGGGAGCACGGGATGGAGTTCTCTGACAACTTTAAATGAAATGTTATCACAAGGACATCTTCCAGCATGAGGAGGTTGGTGTCTCCACAACAGGGGTTCCCACCTGTTCCTGGGGACTGCAGGACCCAGGAACACCACTTGCAGGACATGGTCTCATGCTAGAAGCATTTGGCCTTGTTCACAAAGGCAAGACTTAGGAACACTTTAGCAATATCACAGGTTTCCTGCACATGCAAGAAAAGCTGCACTAGTACAGGCAAGGTCAGGACCAAGCCGAAGACTGGATCCTTAAGGTGCATGGCTGAGTGGGACTGAGGTTTGTAAAGCATGTGGGAAGCTGGTTCCACTGGAGCAGGAGATAAGCTGCAGGCACCATGGCTTAAAGCCTTCCAAGCAATCTTCCACAGCTCCTCAGCAGAAGCTCCACTGTACAAGCCCTACTGTAAAAGCAAAGGAAGCAAGGAGCTGCCTACACCTCCCTGCAATGTAAGCTCTGCAACTGCTGCAAAGATCACTCTCTAAAAATAACTTCAAAAAGGGCATCTGACAGCTCTATAGAGAGCATGAGAACATTCCCACCTGGGTGTCCTAGGCAGCTCTGGGAGCTCATGAGTTTGCCCTGGAAAAGTGCAGGGAGAGAGGCCAGGATACAGGCAGGTACAGGCAGGACACCTCTGTCACAGGCTGAGAGTGTGGGCACACAAATTATAATCCCAGCTCTCCAAGCTCTCACATCCCTCAGCTGATACTACCAAAAGCCCTGGAACAAGGGGAGGTAAAGCAGCTCAGGACACGTGCAGAGCCGATCTCTGCCGACAGCACAGACAGGCAGCACAGACCTGCACAGACCCTCAGAGCGAGCAGGAGCTCAGACAGAGCACAGCCCTGCTTACGGGGAGCTGAGGAGCAGCACTGCTCCTTTAAATGCGCATAGCTGCTACAAGCTCTGCACACACCAGTGATCTGCAGGGTCTGACTTTTAATTCCAGGGCAAACGGGGGACAGGAAGGGTCTGGACTTACCAAAAATGCATGATCATCCTCCCTGCATCTCTCTACCCAAGACAGAAATGCTTCAACTTGTGGCCAAGCTACACTCCAGGAGGAGCGGCTTAAGAAATGCTGACAGGCATTTCTAACGTTAACACTGTCAGTGAGGGCACTGTGGATTCTTCCTGGCACAGACAGCCACTATTAAAGGTAGCAAATGAACTCTCTTTAAGGGCAAGTGACATCTTTCCACTGCCTTTTCAAGCAATGCTCTTCCCTGAAGGAGATTTCTAGGAAACTTCTGACACACGATCCATGCTCACACCACTGCACACAATCCCCGAGATGCCAGGCACATGCAGAATGAGACAGCACACGAAACCCTTCCCCCTCCCCAGTTTTCTACAAAAAAATGAGTCCTAAACTAAGGGTTCTCTGCTGAGAAAGCCAGTGGTTCCCAGAAACCAAGAGGCATCACACAGGGGACACAGCCAAGGTCACCCAGCTGACCAGACTCCAGAAACTGTCAAAATGAGGAAGCTGGGCTGGCTCAGGCTCCCATAGCTGCTGAGCCACCCTGTCCTCTATAACCAGGGAAAAAGGCACCCATCACCCCACCATCCCTGCAGAGAGGCTACTCCAGCACCAGTGCAGACAAGTGTCCAGCCAGCAGACCACGTAACCAGCAGTTCCTCTGCCAGGATGGAAGACAGAAAAGCCTTCAAGGACACCTGCAAACACTCTGCCAGGTTAAATGGTTCAGGGAGAGGGGCTGAAAAAGCCAGCAGTGCTCCAGGGAAAACACTGTGTCAGTCCATCCTGGACAGGCTGGGCCCCTGAGAAAAGGCATGAGTTGATCCAGCTGCCACTCAGGGCAGCTCCACACAGCAAGGACACCTCAGTGCTGGGAGAGCAGGGCGCCTGAGGCAAGGCTGCAGGGGCCCGGGGCATGCAGGCAGGCCAAACCCTGGATGAGATGAGGGTTAGGCCCTCCTCCAATCCAGCTCAGAGATCAGTTGATAGTTCACAGTGGGGGAAGGGAAGGGTGACACGAGCAGGAACAACAGGACAGCAAGGACAGACGAACAATGCAAGACTTGCAACTCCTTATAAAACACAATAGAAAACCCAACCCACTCACCTTTGGGGACAACTGATTTGCAAATTAAAAGGGGGTGTCCACCCTCCAGGAGGGACCAGGAGCAGTTTCCTGCTCCCCTTAGCCTTTGCTGCACTGCTCTGCCTGTTCTGCCAGGCTCTAATGAAAAGCTAGTTAACAGTTAATTATTACCCATTCAGACACACGATCCCCTACTCTGACCGAGGGCGGCGGGATAAGACAGTCACGTGATACAAAAATCCTGACCTTATGAAAGCACAGGCAACTATATTTAGCTGGAAAAACGATGACCTAGCGAGGCTGCTCCTCCCTGGCCCCCCCCAGAGAAGGAGACCTGCCACCTCTGGAGATCCCACCTCCATGAGACCCGGGAATTTCTTCGTCCATCGCAGCTGTAACACTGAGACAGGAGCAAGCCCTGTGTGCATCTACAGGTTGTCCTGTAGGGGGGCAGACCAGCACACGGCCCAGGCTAGGGGGACCCTCCCTCCTCATCCTCAGTGCTGCAGAGCGGGTCACCTTGTCAGCAGCAAAAGCTGATAAGCACCAAAGCCCACAAACAGAGCCCAGCCCAAGGTCCTGGACCTTATCTTGAAAGCAGGAGGCACACTGGAAACCTGACCAGTGAGACCAGCACAGGAGTGGCATTCAGCAGCAATGCTCCAGCCTGCTGGAGTCTGCATGCCCAGGGCTGGTGGTGTCCAGAGCTGGTGATAGGAATTTGCCTCCCTGTTAGCCCACCCCTCTCTCCACAGGGTGGATAGGTGAACAAGACAGACACTGTCATGCCAAGAACAGAGAGGGAGTGAAGGCAGTCGTGCAGGAGTCACACGTGGGCACCACTGCTATGGAGAGACAGTCCCACAAAAAAAGATGTGCAGCAACAAAATCCAAGAGCATCACCCGCTCCCTCTGCCACTGCAGTGAAACAACTTCAAAGGAGACGAAAAACAAAAGCCTGAGGACCAGACATCATTAATCTCTTGTCATCAGCAGAGGGGTGCTCTCTGCCTGCATCCCACTGTGGCCACCGAGACAGCAAAACCGGTGGCACCCACAGCATGAGCGAGAGGAGGTCACTGTCGTGCTGACATGATCCCTTTAATGGCCGTCAGCCTCTTCTGCAGCTGCAGCTGGGGACTTGGAAGCTGACAAAACCCTTCCTGGGAAGCATCTGGTACGTCTCACTGTAAATATTTAACAATGAAGAGACAGGAATCGAGAGCCAAGCGCCTGCCGCGAGACCCTCCAGCTCCAAGCGTTCACACTGTCTGTGAGGAGACTGCACAGCTCCCACTGCGCCAGTGGAGGGGGTGAGGGGTCATACAAGGCTAAAGTGCAACCTCTGCACAAAATATGCCTCTGGAAAAACCTGTCATCTCAAAGAAAGGGGCTTTTAGGAAGGAAACTGTGACGTAATTTAAGTAACATCATTCCTAGTTCCTCCTGCTTTGATTCCCGTACCTGGACTTTGGCTGCTTTTGCAGAGGCATCTCAGTAGGACCAGAGTGTCCCCTGTGCAGCGACCACTTAACCTCACCCTCAAAGCCTGCACCAGGACAGCTGCAAACCTGCCTCCCTGACTGCATATAATGAGGAGACTGAGCAGCAGCTCAGCTTGTGAAGCCAAGGAACACAGAGCCACCACCAGGCAGAAATCCAGCCCTGTCTCCTGGGGTGGAGAAAAGCAAGAGCGATTTGGAGGCAGGAGAGCAAGTGCAGTAAACACTCCCAGGAATTCAGGGAGGCCAGACCTAGGTCACCTGCTAAGCAAAGTGTCTCCAGAAATGAGCAGAGAAAAATCTTACAGTCCCATAAGCACCTGGATTAAACTAAGCGCAGGTATGGGGGCTTCCTCCAGCTGGCGAATCCAGAGCATTAAAACCATGACAAGGCACTTAAATATCCCTGCCATCTTTGAGAGCAAGCAGAAAGGCTTCTTTTTTTGCTACTTAAGGATTACTGTACCTCAGCCAAGCTGATTTCAGGGCATGCTGTCCAAGCACAAAATACAACATCCTCACTTGTGCCTCCCACCTTAAGCTAGATGCAGAGAAATTCTAGATTTTCTGAATAACTTTGATACAAAAAAACCCTGCCAGCTTCCTTCCTGGGTGCTCAATCACATTGATCCTGGTGCATAAACCACTCTCTCTAATCTAGGTAATTTCAGTGCCACAGGTGGCTGCCTCCCCTGTGTCAATACACAGCATAAAAAACAACCCAGTAAATCAGTCTTGTCAAAGAAGTCAGGAATACCCAATTAAAAAAGGAGAGCAACACAGCACTTTTCTAATTTAAAGATCTATCTCCCCTCCTTTTCTTTATAAAGGATTAAAAACTACTTCCTTGCAGTAGTAATATCACCCTCATCTCTTTATGGAAAACTTTACAGCATTTAATTCAAAGGGGCATTTATAACTCAAGAAAGATATCCCAGCCACAGCTGACAATTGTATAAAATGAACAGGTCAGGGTGCAGCAGTAGATTAAAAAAAGTCATCAGGAGTAGTGAGACCAAGGCAGAGCATCACTTGTTGCTCTCTTGAACACCAGCACATCCACAACTGCACCCTGCAGTCAGCTCTGGTCTCTGGATTTCAACAAGGGCACAGCAGTGTTACAGATGGTCAAAGAAAAGCAATTAAACCACCCAGAGGCAGCTCCTCAAGAGGTGAGACTAAAAAGTCTGGGATCCTCCAGCATGGAGAGGAGGAGGGCTGGCTGTGGCACACGAGGCCAGGAGGGCACAGGCACAGCACACGAAGCCAGCAGGAGATCTGTTCGAAGTGATAGAAGTATTCCCTTCCAGAACAGGCAGCAAATTTCACCACCACACACAGTAGCAGGCTCTGGGAGGTGGAGCATCAGCCACCTCAGAGAGGGGTCTGGTGTTCAGGGCAAACACATCCACAGGAAGCCCAGCTGCAAATGTACTCCCCCAGTTCTCCTTCAACAGCAGAAGTGGGGAATATCAGTGTCCCTCTGCCCTGCCACCACCCTGCCAAGCCCAGCCCTGCATCTCCCAAGGGTGCTACAGTCTTTCAGCTTTCCATGTGAACTCCAGATCACATGGTTTGAAGGGGCTTCTTCTGATGCCAAATCTAGTTGGTGGATGTGGGAGAGGAGAGGACCAAGGAACCGCTGTGCCAGACAAAAGGAAAGTCAGAGGCCTCTCTCCAACAACTACTGTATTTCCAAACACTATTAGGTAACCAGGACACAAACACTGCTGCCCTTCCACCTCCATAGAGCTCACACGTGACACCAGGCTGAGGGCAGGACGCCTCTGGCATCCATCACTAACAAGCGGGAACACGCTTTGGGGCACTCTGCAGCTACTGTGCCTACCAAATGGCTGATTTTTGGCTCAGGCTCCTCACCCATGCAATTCCCAACCCTGTTACTGCAACTTAGCATCCTCCATCACTCTGCTAACTGCTTCGTTGGGAGGAAGAACAACAGACTTTTCACTCAGAGGGGAAACTGCCCATACAGTCCCATCTGACCTTACAAGATTAACCTTAAAAAATAGGCACTGACATAGGTATGAGAGTCCCAGTGACTTGCACTAACAGACTTGAGCAAATTAACTCATTCAACAACCTCAGCAAGGAAAGGGAAGTGAGGGAGTCAAACCCAGCAGCCTCAGGAGTGCACAACAGCTCTGGTGCCAGGTATGCTCCCAGTGCTGCTCTGCCTTCGCCTGCTGGGCTCACACTTCACTGTGTTTTGAGATACCAGGGCTTCCAGATAAGCGTAGTGCATGGGAAGAAAAGGCATGGCACCAGCTTTAAAGTTTTTCTGGAGAAGGTTTTTCTGGAGAAAGACTGTACAGTGTCCTGTGTAGCTACTATAAAGAGGAATCCTGTTTGAGCTTTCACTTACCTCCTAAAAAAATACAGAATAGTAAAAAAGCCCCAAGCTCTGTAGGTAACGTTTTCTGTAACACTATTGACATGTAACATGCACTTTCTGAAGCACTATCATCTGCTGCAGACATACATTTGTGCCCCACCCTGGAGGTCCCCAACCAGCTGGAGAACAAGAGGGTGGAGTTGTGCCAAGCAAAGGACATCTCTGAGTTTTGCAGCACAGGCAGACAAAATCCAACACCCAACAAAGACAGATCTTAAGCAGGGTGGAGAAAAGCCTCTTATGAACTCAACACATGGGAACGTACCTTTGCTCCTTCAAAACCAGTCTTAATATGTCACTCTTACACATGTTATGAAAGCAAGAAAATCCTGAGACTTACAAATGTGGAATCAAAGCCTTAATCCAGTGGATTCAGTTATATACCACAGCCTCATTAGCTGGCTAGGGCTCTGGAAACACATCCACAACACCCAGCCCTCTGTTCAACTCACAAGTTAAATTACACTGTCTCCAATGTTACACCACACTGCTCTAAACCAGTGAGTTTCTTTTACTGAACTCATCTTTAAGACAATGGTGTTGACTCCCATACTTCTAAATCCTGATCATGCAATGCTTCCACAATCAGCAGCAATTTATCCTCACACTATCCATGAACTGGTGAAATGTAATCCCATGCAAAGCCAAAGATGGAGGTCAGAGGTGCCTGGGGTTGCACAAAGCCAAGGCAGGCACTGACTCCCATTCCCAGTGCCTTGCTATAGAATAACTCCACATGGCACTACAGATCTGAGACAAGATCTTATGGACCCATCTTGGTATCACTGGGTAAAACACAAACCTCTTCTTCAGTCCTGGCACTCTGACAACATTAACCTGGATGAAGACCTTCTGGCAGTTTGGGAAAGGCAAGAATTGAGATCATCAATACTGGCTACACTCCTTTTCTGATTTGGGATCTCTACCCAGAGCAGCCTCCCTTCCTCTCAGGGGCCCCAATCCATTTCTGCTCCATCCTTCCCAGCAATGTGCACACACTGCTGGGGCCAGGAAGTTTTCATTGGTCTTGCACTGGTGGCAACACTGTTGTATTTTTGTTGTCCTTAACAGCAATACTAGACAGCAACACAGACTACAAGCCACAGGGAAAGTCTGAATCTTTCCAAAGTACTGCTAATTCAGATATACATCTTCAGGTTCATG